AGAAAATTGCACTAAATGTTGAAAAAGTGGCAAGTACAAAAATGTTTTGTAACTTTACAAAAGGCGCCCAATACCCTTAAGAGTCAAATCCTATAATTCTTCCCCAGCATGCTGTAGTAGCAAGTAGTTGCAATTGCGTAATTATTGTGTTCCAGATCACTGTATTTAGCATAATTTCTTTGCAATTCGCAGGTCCAATCTGAGTCAATAAACACAATTTGCCAAATCTTTAGTTACTGTACACAAGGAAGACTCTTGAATGAAAGTTAGCTAACTAACAAATTAACTAGATTTCCCTCATTAAGCAATTCCTTCATCACCAAAAACACCATCAGAGACTCTATAAATTCAACACTATTAACTTCAAGGTACACATACTTGTACATTTAACTGCCCAACAAATAACTGTCTCATGAATCAAAGGGTCTCATTTGAGCTCACCTGAGAATTGGAAAAAATGGAGGACAACAACAAGACAAGTTTGGACTAAAAGAAGATGAACAAGAAAGAAGTAATGAGAGCTAGATTTCTTTAACTTTGGTTCACCATGTCTTCTTCCATGGAATGTATATGAGGAATCTATCCAAAAACTGTAACCACTTTATAAAGCTTTATTTACTGTTACATCTATAATCTGGAAATTTGGAAATGAACAGAACTAGCTTCACAAATATCGCCATGCTGCTCTCTGCTGTGGAATCTATTATTTGCTTTAGAGTACAGTCATTGACAAAAGTCTTGTCACATAAGGACATAGTAACTTAAAAAGGCATATAACTTTATTTCTAATCAATCAATTGCCAAGGACTTTCACATTAATAACTGGGTGCAAAATGAAACAAATGAAAAGTGTCCTGATGTTCACAGCTTGTTAAAGTCCATAAACACCTGTTTTTGCAAGGACAAAAGTCTTGTCATGTCTTTTAATTATTCAACCAATCACAGATTAGAGGTTCACCTGTGACAAATACTGTAATCAGCATAATCCCAGGTGTGTATAAAAAGAACCCCAAGAACACCAGACCTTCACTTGAAGTGCAGCCTGGCTTCTGAAAACATGCCAAAGATTCAACCACAGACCAAGTCTGCTGAGGTGTCAGACGTCATTAATGTATCCAAACATCAAGTGGAGAGGATTAAAAAAAGATATGAAGAAACTGGTGATGTTCATGACAAGCCCAGGTCAGGCAGAGCCCGTAAGACAACTCTTTGAGAGGACCATTTGTTGCTTCGAAAGTCCAGGGCCAACCCTTTTTCAACTGAAGCAGAGCTACATCAGAACTGGTCACCAGAAACCACTATGTCTACAAGAACAGTTTCTCAAATTCTCGCACACAGTGGTCTCCATGGCCGAATTAGTGCACAGAAACCAGCATTAATGAGAACACAACAAAAAAAAGCGTGTTGAATTTGCCAAAGCCCACAGCTTGCAGCAAGGATGGACAGAGGCAAAGTGGCAGAAGGTTGATTTTTCTGACGAATCATCCATTGAACTGCATATCAAATGCTGCAAACACTGCAGGAGACCTGTTGGAACCCGCATGGACCCAGGATTCACCCAGAAAACAGTCAAGTTTGGTGGAGGAAAAATCATGGTTTGGGGTTACATCCAGTATGGGGGTGTTCGAGAGATCTGTAGAATGGATGGCAGTATCAACAGCCTGAAGTATCAAGACATTCTTGCTGCCCATTACATTCCAAAGTATAAGAGGGTGCAAATTCTGCAGCAGGATGGCGCTCCTTGTCATACTTCAGCCTCCACATTGAAGTTCCTGAAACTGACGAGGATCAAGGTGCTCCAGGATTGGCCAGCCCAGTCACCAGACATGAACATTATTGAGCATGTCTGGGGTAAGATGAAGGAGGAGGCTTGGAAGACGAAACCAAAGAATCTAGACGAACTCTGGGACTCCTGCAAGACTGCTTTCTTTGCCATTCCAGATGACTTCATCAACAAGTTATTTCAGTCATTGCCGAGATGTATGGATGCGGTCTTCCAAGCTCATGGAAGTCATACATGTTATTAATTCTTTCTTCCAAGGCACCATGACTTTATGTTCTGATGTTATTGTAGCATGTTTGTGTATTCTATATAAAGTATATGTATAATTTCTACATTATTTGTGTATATGACAAGACTTTTGTCCAGGCAAAAAGGTCCTAATTACATGACAAAACTCAATGAATGATGAAAAACTTTATTTTGGTATAATAAGCAAAATCTAGAGGGCTTTGCCTTTCTTATAAGCCATTTCTGATTCCAACTGATTAACTACAGGTCAAGTTATTTGTTGTTCCTACAACTTGGTTAAGTGACAAGACTTTTGTCAGGCACTGTAGTACAATGCAACATACTTAGAATAGTACAGTACCACACCATCCTGGGTCCATAAGCAAAGCCACCTTCTAACATTGCTTTATGGTCTACAACAGTGTTTCCCAATCCAGTCCTCGGGGACCGATAGCCAGTCCACGTTTTTGCTCCCTCCCAGCTCCCAGTAAGAAGCAAAAATGTGGACTGTTTGGCAGGGAGCTCGGAGGTAGCAAAAATGTGAACTGTCTGGCAGGGAGCTCGGAGGGAGCAAAAATGTGGACTGTCTGGCAGGGAGCTCGAAGGGAGCAAAATGTGGACTGTCTGGCAGGGAGCTTGGAGGGAGCAAAAATGTGGGCTGTCTGGCAGGGAGCTCGAAGGGAGCAAAAATGTGGGTCCTCGAAGACTGCATTGGAAAACACTGGTCTACAAGATGCTTTGTTTCATAAAGAGTAATGGGACCCAACGTGGCTGGAGAAGACCTGATAAGTTTCATTTGCGACTCCACAATTCTCATCCACAACTGAGAGAAAGATGAGCCAAGTCTCTCCCAGCATTTCTTTCCGATGTATGCATCATTTCTGAGCATTCTCAAGGAACAGGAAGGCGTTCACCCTTCTAAAACAGAGGCCAATAGGACAGTGCATTTGGAGCGCTACCAGACTTAGAGAGGACATCTGAGGGTATACCCCATTTCCTGGCCAGAAAGTACAGCCTGTAATCTAGATAAAAACTTCTGGCCAGAGACCATGGTGGGGTTTTTCCTTTCTGTGTTGTTCTGTACCTACAATGCGTCTGTCTAATGTTTTTCCATTTTGACTTCTGCTACATTTGCTGTAACTTCTGCTAGCAAATGTTGTTGATAAACTTGGTAACATTTTGAACATATCTACATATAGGCACTGTGCAAAAGTCTTAGGCAGTCACAGAAAATAATGTTTAAATGATCTTAAATGATCTTCATGTTGGTGTAAAATTATGATATTACATCTGTCAAGTGTGTCAGCTTAGTCATTTGAAAACCTCTCCTAAAGACACCCCACTATTTCCATGCAATACACCCGTGTATTTTTTTGACTCTACCACTACCCCATCTTGTTTGGGTAATCAATACCCAATTGAATTATTTAATAAATCAAGTTAATTAATGAATTGAGTGGGTGGAGAAATTTAACAAACAAATAGAATGGCTGGGGTGCCCCTGAGGAGAGATTTAGGAACCAAAGTGGAGTTTATCTAGCCTTCTGAGGAAATATACGTGTCCCACCAAGATAAATAGCCATAAACATTTTCTTTGACTGCCTATGACTTTTGCACAATACTATATATTTGATAATATCCATAAGCATATCTATTTATGAACATATCTGAGCTTTTGATAGATAAGTTTGCACTGCAACATATTAAAGAATAATATAATAATATAGTTCAAAGGACATTGGTATCAATTCTTTAGCCTTTTATGAAAGTGAGCTCTGTCTTTTTTAAAGAGTGTTCTGCTGTGCTTCAAGTATATTAGGCATTCACTTGGGTCTATGTATCTGATGGTCCTCGTGTGCAATTTGTAAGAACAACTTCATTTTTATGAGAGATAAAATGTTCGGTACAGAATCACTTTTTCCCAGAGACTTCTGGGATTTGATCAGTATGGCACAGAATTTTTGGATGTTTAGAGTTTTATGGAAAATGGCTGTGAATAAAGCATAACATTCTGTATTTCTTTGCTAGTCAAAAACCTTAACTTTTACGCACTGGAAATGTCTGTATTAAGAGCAACGACATATCAGTGAACAAGAAATGCACAGCTCTCTCATACAGGAATTCGAGGCGTCTGTCTTTCAGGATTCTTTCTTTGGTTTCTCCTAATGCAACAACATTAGAATGATCCTAGGAAATATTTCGCACAATATCTCAAACAACAGCTTGAAATACATCAATAAATGTGGATGGGACACAATACAAATTTACAAAAACAATGAGTCGAATTGAAATTCACTAACATTTATCAACAACGGCTTGTTTTGTAAGGTACGTTGCACGTTACGATTCTCTTGAGTTCACGTTTCACATGCGGGTTTTCCCCCTCATTGGGCCATGCAAATACTCTTATTAACAAGTATAGCCTCGGACTGATTTCATACGGCCTATGCAGTGGGGATTCATACCACGCATACAGTGGCTCACTTGTCCGAATACCATACAGTATATCGACACATTTAATACGCGTTAGTACAGCATTGCACGCCTGTGATAAATGATTTTTCCCGCAAATGTGCAATTGTGCACATGAATACATGAAATTAATACATACATTCTTAACACTATGCATGTTAATCGTATTCTCCATTTGCCTGTACTTTTAATAAATAGTGCTAAGCCTACTGCACGCATTTATGCAGAAAATGTACGTCATACATGTACTCACATGCATGAATGTTAATTTTAGTTTTTCCAGAAATGCGCAGGAGTCGTGTTGTCAAAAATAAATTGAGCAAGCAATTTAAAACTGAGTCTGCATTAAACATCTCATGACATTAATCCTGTGCCTCTGGGTCTTGAACCTGGCCTCACGGACTGCCCGTGTCGGCAGTGAATCTGCTCTGCATCGAATAAGGAACAGAATTTTTTCTACATCCCGATACTCGGCTGTTGCATTAAATAATCTTTATCATCATTATTTTTTCTTCTTGTTGATCCCTGTTTTGGAAGCTGACAATTTTAAAAACGGTCAAGAATGTTAGAGAAACCAAGGAGACAGAAAGAAAGCAGAACGAGGCGGTTTTGCCTTTGTAGTTAGAGAGGAATGCGGAAATGTTCCTGCTCTGTGTCAAACTTCTCTGAAGGGGGTCAAGGCGCATTCAGCTAGCGTGGGAAAGGGAAAAGGAATCTGAGCGAACTCTCCATACTCTGGGACGGGGGAACAGCACTTCGTTCCTTGAGGAGCCTGCGGTATGGACTGTGATCTCCGGGAAAACCGAGTTTTTAAAGTACACGATCTAGTGTGAAAAAAAAAACCGAAAAGCCCTTTTAGTTGATTTGCTTGAATAGGTCGTGTTGTGTTTGGTACTGCTGGAGGATGGGGGTTCCAGCGCGTGCACCATCCCTCTACCTGTGTGGCCCAGGGCATAGACAGTGAGGGATCTGTGAAGTATTTGCAAACTTCTGCTCGCGAAGAAAGCGCTGGTTTCATCGCAGATTGTAAGGACGTGCACATCGCTGCGGATTTGGATTCTTAATCTATATCTATCAGGTATTTGAATTTCTGCAAAATGTTAGCTTCCTCTAGGATTTTTTCGCATATCTTTTATTGCATGTATGCAGCTGTGTCGACAGTGTGGGTGTTAGTGCATGCTTGTAAAACAGTGTTTAGCCTATAAGACATAGTTCTGTGTTTCCTAATGTATATTCTGCTCAAGACTGACGCTGTGAATTTGAGCTAGCCATGAAATGTATAATTAAAACTTTCGATCCTTTTAAATATGATGGTAAACTTAATGTTGCAAAGTGATGTCCAAGTAACATTTTCTTTAAATGTTACAGGAAGTTTGGAAGCAAATAGATAATATATAAACTCACATCTTTTATTTATATGGGAAGTCGAAACAATACAACCACGTGCTCGCCACAATTTTTAGAGCCTCGCATCTGAAAGAGTATATGTTATCTGATTTTGAAAGTCTTGAAATTTAGGCAAACACGAATGCAGTTGATATCTTTGCATGTTATCCTTATTTTGTTGTCTTCACTTAATTAATTCCGAGTTGTATAACACCATGCATAGGGGCAAATACCTCGTGCTTTTGTCCTACACGCCTGTACTGTTATGATATTCATTGCAGTACATTGACTTATATGTAGTTCAGGACCCAAATATTTAATTTGCTAGATAAGAAAAATGAAACTTGCAATAACAATGTTTACTTATGAATAGATTAATTATTCGGCGACATTAAAGAAATGTGATAAAGCTTATAAAGGCGATTTAACTCTTTATTATGCGAACACAGTATGACCCGCTGTTTTCTGTTTCTTTTATTTGTTTAACTATAGGTATTACAAATACAAGCCATGCATTTCTGGTGATGTTGTAATAATTTTAATGCTTCGTTTTCGTCGGGATTTGTCACCGGCGATATTTTTAACCGCAAGTGAAAGAGAAAATAAAGAAGTGTAAGATGGACAAAGACAGCACGGCTCCACAATACGAACCTGTTGCTGAGATCGGCGAAGGTGCGTACGGGAAGGTGTACAAAGCACGCGACTTGAAGAACGGCCGCTTCGTAGCCCTCAAAAGAGTCCGGGTTCAGACAGAGGAAGAGGGGATGCCTTTGTCAACCATACGAGAGGTGGCAGTATTGAGGCAATTGGAATCATTTGAGCACCCCAACGTCGTCAGGTAAGGAATGGGATTAGTAATATAAGAAATGGAATTAATGTTATGCACATATTATACAAAATATGGGGTTGATTTATACAATTTTAATACATGGCATTTGCTTATTTTTAACATTGATTTTATGTAATTATTTAACTTGATGTGTAAATTGTGCATTTACAGATGTTTTTAAAACATCGTTCAAGCCTATTTTACACCATTTTGAATGAGTTTTCTGAATTAATTTAAATATTTAGTTCATTGGCAATTTTACGTTTATGTGTGATTTCCCCGGCCCTCTAGTTTCAGTATGCGAATAGAGTGAGCGCACTTTTGTGGAATTGTTTTTTCGTGCAGTCGTCCGTTTGCCTACCTGTCAAAATCCGCCGAGCCATCCGTACCTTAACTACAGCGCCCCCTGTGTTCCAGCTGTGCTTAAGCTCGTGCAGACGCTTCGCGCTGTATCGCGCGGCTTATAAAACGATTTTTTTTTTAACGTGACGAAGAGCTGTCGGCCTGCTAGCTTCAGAAGCAGAAATTAACGAATTGCTAAATGTTTTAATCTCTAAATGAGGACATTCAACAGGTGGCAGATTTTTATATCTTCCAGGTTTGCGTTTAAATACAAAAATAGTTCATATTTCTTAGAGATTCTTCATTAAGGGATGTTGTTTCTAAGAAAAGCGCTGCTCTTTGCTTAGCGCCCGAAAGCTTTGCCTTTCAGTCATCTGTCTTAAAATACAGCACATGTGCCCTAATGACTCAGGAAGTGAACTGAATAGGTTTGTTGAGATATTCCTTAGTTAACGCACTTAATCATATCTGTTCAGAATATGAGTCAACTAAGTAATTCAGACTTACCATTTGCTTCTGGGGGAATTCTTTTCAAAATGTCTTGTGTTGCTGGGAAAGTTATGTTGAATATGACATTTCTCAGAACAATCTACCTATTTAATTTTCTTCAGAGCTGCTGGAAGCAAGTAAATTGCTACATTTAATCTTTTGAAGGTCTGATTTGAGAGAATGATTGCCTTTTATTTGGGGTATATTTCAGTCTCTGCCCAACATGCAGTTTGCTGGTGATCAAGGCATCCTGACTTAGACAACCTAAGACGTTGTTATAAGAAATGTAATAATTGATTGAAATAGCAATTATGTTCCTCTTAATAGCTTTCAGGTCAGCGTTCAGGTTTCAGACTTTTCCCTTTAAATGTATCTCAAGGAAGTTCTGATTCCATGAATCCTAGTGAATTCCAGTTGTTCTCTTGGGACATGTGTAATTTGACGCTATGCTTCAATGAGGATGTTTGTTACGCTTGACCATACATTGAAATCCCTTGTCTCCTTTCCTCAGTTTGCTTTGGGATGAAAATACTTTGATTGCCCTGAAAAGCTGATTGGCCCTATTTACAGGTTTCTTGTTATTTTAAAGGTACCTTAGTAACTTAGATTTCATTTAGGTGCACAAAATTACTTAGACAGCTTACACAGATAAGTATATTCTGTATGTGTGTAATAATACTATTTCAGAATGATGTGTCTCGATTTCAGAATATAAAAAAATGGTGTCTATAAGCGGCTAGAAACTCTTGGTGTGACAGGGAGTGTAAAAAAAAAACTACAAGAAACAGATACGTCTAAGAATTTCCATCTGCTCAAATGAGACCAAACAGAAAATCCATAGCATTATGTTTGGGGAAGTCCCAACACAAATGCTGATCACCGTCCTCAGCAGTGGACCTAGGTGGTCACATGATGACAGTGTGGAGATGCTTTTCCTGCTGATCAAGGTCCCCTGCAAAGTGGGTCAGTACTGGAGGATGAATGGGCAGACAAGGCAGACAACAACTGAAAATGATGATGAAAATCTGCCTTTCAGCTTGAAAGTGATCAGCAGGGACGGCACCAAGCCAAGGCTCTCCTTATGACTCAAGAGTCTTTTAGTGGTTGAGTTAAAGACCTTACTATTCTATGGAGGAGTTTCATAAAATGAATTAAAACTTATCCTTCTGCATTTTCATCAAAGGATGTAGCTATTAATTAACTTTATTATTATTATATTATTATTATTACAACCCCATTTCCAAAAAAAGTTGGGATGCTGTGTAAAATGTAAATAAAAACTGTATGCAATGATTTGCAAATCATATAAACCCATATTGAATTGGAAATAGAACAAAGATAACATATCAGATGTTGAAACTGAGAAATTTTATTGTTTTTTTTGACAAAATATATGCTCAATTTGAATTTTATGCCAGGAACATGTTTCAAAAACGTCGGGACAGGGGCATGTTTACCACTGTGTTGCATCACCAACATTTTATGGAAACGGGATCGTACTAAAACGTAAAGTGTAGTGTAGGGGTCACCAACATGGTGCCCACGAGCACCAGGATGCCCCCAAGGACCATATGAGTCGCCCGCGGACCTGTTCCAAAAATAGTGCAACTCACCAGTGAGCAGCGTCTAAAATTTAATTTTATCCTGTTCTATCCTTCTTTAATCACATTTGCATTTATATAGATTTGAAAATAACAATATCTAAAAAAAAAGGCATTTAAAACATGTTTATTATATACGAAGCTTAGATAAGTTCAGGAGGACGTCTCAAAGTGGTAGCCCTTCGTATGGCTCAGTACCCGTGAAGTAGCTCTCAGTTTCAAAAAGGTTGATGACCCTTGGTGTAGTGCATCAATGTATACTCATTCATTCATTGGTCTCTAATGTGATTTCTTGTGCCTATGTAGATTAATTTCTTGTATTTACCTTAAATATATCATGGAATGGATTTTAGGGACAAAGCAGAGAGATGGTTCGTAGTGCTTATTGCAGGGTCGCGAATAACTTGCCATGAAGTTTGCAGTTGTGGATAGGAACAGTTGTAAATGTAATGATGTTACACATAATCTCTCATCTTACAAAACTGGAACAGAGGTCAGTCATGGCAGGATACTGTCTCAGAAATGGACAGGGAAGAGTGTTGAGACCTTTACAATTGAAATGAGAGAGCATGAAACTTAAATGATATGGGATGTTGCTGGGGAGCAGTAAACTACCATGGTAGATGGGAAACTTCTATTCGGGTCACAATGGATACAAGCAGAGAAGGCAGAAAATGAGAGATACTTACAAGCACATTTGTGTAACTGTGCACTGGCTTTTTCTGTACTGGTGAGTGATGTTATAAGTTAATAGCAGAGGTGGATAGTTCAGGTCCAGAAAGTAAAAATTCAGACCAAGATTTGGTTTCAACCAGCCACTTAAGTGTAAAGAGTCACATTAACTGAGTACTCAACGGGTCATTGAAACAAAATCTTGGTCTGGATTTTTACTTTCTGGACCTGTAATATTACCCTCTCTCTACCCTCAGAGTATGTTTTACCTAAATCCAGCACAGGTATCCAGGCCCGAGGAGAGGGGGGTGCAGCCGGTGCATCGCTCCGGGGCCCATGAAGCTCATGGGGGCCCATGAAGTCCAACGTGTCCCATAATTTTTATTATACAGTGATCCCCAGCTATACTGCGGTTCAGCTATTGCCCCCCCCCCCCCGTATCGTGGATTTTTTTGTGGAACATATGTAATTTTGTATCGCGGAAATCTTTGGTTTTATAGTGATAATTTTTTATGGGTTTTTGAGAACTTTTTACGTTGAAATTAGCATTTTTCTACGCTAAACTATTAATAACAACAATGTATTACTGTAATTATAACATATATATAGCTGTACTGTATATAAATAAAAATGTAGTAATTCAATAAGTACATCCTACCTGTAGTGTACTGTGCAGCCTATTCATAACAAAGCATACGGTTTGTCAGCAGACACTACGTGTGATAGACAATAATTCCTTAGAACAATATTATAATTAATAATAACTAACGTATACGTAACATTTAAGCAATACACTAGTAAATCATAAAACATACTGCTACGTACAGGAATACGTTGACATGCAATTCATACGCTTTTCATTTGTCACTACGCGTGCTAGATAAGAGTTTGTTAGAACAATACGTATTATAATTTATAATAACTATAAATATACATATATATATTACATATTATTATTATTATTATTATTATGTTACTCGTATCCTTAGCCCGACATCCACATATCATATGTGTTTACAAAGTGTGTTTTAATAAGTTTACATGTGTTTAAAGTGAGTGGGAGGGGTATTTTAAGGCTTAAACTATATATATATATATAAATGTTTAGTTGTATGGTCTTTCTGTATCGCGGATTTTCACCTTTCGCTGATGGGGCTGGAACGTAACTTCCGCAATAGGGGGGGATCACTGTAATTTGAGCATTTATTTATTTAATTAATTTAATTTTTATTGCCATTTTTAAAATTTTGCAAGTCTGTTTAGCTTAAAAATTAAAAAGGCACGTGGGTCACAGGGTATATCCTGCTGATATTAGTGAAGGAGATAAGTCATCTGCCAGCTGTTCATCGATCAAATTCTGGAGAACTAAGCCCATTGGAGCTGCTGAATTGCTTGAAAAAGTACAAACTGGAAGGACTCTTTCCAAATATATGCGTCCGTCTGCGTATTCTGTTGCCAATCCCTGCCACTGTCGCCTCTGCAGAGCGCTCATTCAGCAAGCTGAAGCTAGTAAAAAAAAAATTCTAAGATCCACTGTGTCAGAAGCGCGACTAGTGGATATGGCAAGACTCAGTATTGAGTCTGATCTAGCAAAACAGATTAATTTTGATGATGTAATTCAGAGTTTCGCCAGGAAAAAGGCCAGAAAAGCACCTTTGTTTAACAGACAATAAATGCTATTATAAACATCTTTTACTATTATAAATATATTACTTTATTATCACATTTATACCTATACATACTTATCTAAATGTAGCAATGTAATCTACAATTGTTATAAATAAATAATAATATACACACATACGTCTGTGTAGAATTTTGTATAAGGGCCCACACACCTTCTTCGTGCCGGGGCCCGGATTTTCTCTCAGCGGCCCTGCAGGTGTCCCTCAAGACAGGGGTGCTGTGAAGCTGGGGAAAGTAAGGACAATTTCAAGGGCCTCTGTTTAAAGTTTGCATAACATAATTGGATTGGTCTGGGTTGGGGGACCAATACGACATGCTTTCATGGGGCCCAAAATCTCTTTAATTGTGGGACATTAAAAATCCAAAAATGCTATAAATATCAGCACCAACAGCTCACTCTATAAGTAACTTCAAAAGGCAGCCATTTCTAAGCATTATTAAGTATTAGTTTTGGATTAAGTACAAATTGATGAACCTTGGGGATTAATCAACTCTCGTGGCTTACCACCACATTTTACAGTAAATGTGTATTCATTTAAAAAGCAAGGATGATTTATGCTGTTTTAGTCAAACTCATTCTCTAGTTATATTTGTCGTTCCCTTAATGACTTGCCAGTCGAGAGACGAGTCATCGTGGAGCTTTAAACAGCTATAAGAGGTATCGAAATATTGAAATGAGTAACGGGTCAGCATTTTGACTTTGCTTGTATGCTTTTCCACAGACTCTTTGATGTATGTACGGTGTCCAGAACTGACAGAGAGACAAAACTGACACTGGTCTTCGAACATGTGGATCAGGATCTGACCACGTACTTGGAGAAGGCACCTGAACCTGGTGTACCACCAGAAACCATCAAGGTACTTTGGATACCCGCATCCTGCTTGTATAGAGAGCGCTTGTGATTGTTCCTTATACAGCCTCTCCCCAGGTTACGATGGGGTTACGTTCTGATAAACCTATCGGAAGGCGAACATATCGGTGAAAATACATTTTATTACAGTACACCAAACCTAACAAACATCATAGTCTAGCCTACAGCCTACATACTCAGAACACTTACATTAGCCTACGGTTTAGCAAAATCATTAACACAAAGCCTATTTTATAATAAAGAGTTGAATATCTCATAGAATTTATTGAATAATGTACTGAAAGTGAAAAACATTAACCCATCATAAATTCGAAATATCATAACACGGACCATTGTAACCCAGGAAGCGCCTGTATTTTTAATTTCTTGATTTAAGGCCATACATATGTCATAGAGAATTAATGAACACAAAAGCACCTCAAGGTAATATATTGTGATATTTTTGATTTATGAGAAGCCCAAGGCTGTTTCTCCTATTTTTTCTCATGCTCTGGGTCAGCCATGTCATGCACTCTGTTGTGTAATAATATGAACTTTCAACAGATGTGGTGCAACCGTCCGTCCAAAGTAATTATAACAGTGGCCCCCATTTTTGATGAAAACATCACACTTGCTTGAACATTTTTTCCCCATGAATAAATACTTGAACAACCACACCTTCCATTGCTAACCTTTTGCAAGTAGAGAGGGAAACATGCCCATAGACTTGGAAATAACGGAATAGATGCAGGGATACACATGTTAGCAATCATGCATTTTCCAGAAACAATGCGCACACAGTAAATTCAATGGCAAACAATAGTTTCAGAATTTGGCGTTGATCTGGCAGGATTATATTGTAGCTCCTTAATTGCTGTGAACAATAAAATAAATCTGTTTTTGCAGGGAACATTTTTAGTTATCCCTGTTGCTTGCATGAACTGCAGGAAATATGTTCTGCTGGCTTTGGGAAACACAAGGACATAAAAAAATAACGTTTGAGAGACTTGTGCTGCTTTGAAGGGCACTGCATGTGGTGGAAGGCTACAAATTAAGGGAGTGAAACGATACAGTACTTTTATTTTTATTTGGCTCTGATTTTTAATAGCCTGAATGCTGTTCTAGAGTCTGTACTATGAACATCGGGGTGCTTGGCTAACTTTTGGTACAAACAGTTGAATTTATGGTTACTTTATTATTCATTGTATTTAATGTATTTATAAATGTAAAACAAGAACATATTCCTGCAATATTACCTTACCTTTTTTAATGAATTTCACTCAGTGACTTATTTATATCTAGGTTCTTACGCCTCAGTACGTAGTAGTACAATTGCATGATATTAACAATCATGACAGTAAATTGTTTTTACTTGTCTACTTGCACATGATAATAAGGGGTAATTGTGACCCACAGTAGGATAAGTGGATTGGAACTGAATGATGGAGCACAGATTACAGCCATGTGTGGCACACGGGGTCCAGCACTGAAGTGCAATTAATCTACCATTCAAAACATTCAGTGTCCTGCTCAAATTGGGCTTCAACCAAAGCTGTAATTATCACATGCACTGGGGGGACATGTCCTCCTCAAAATACAGATGTGCTCACAATGACCCCCCCCCCCCCAATATAAAATACATTATAATTACGGCTATTGCCCCCCCTACCACCTTGGCTTCAATGGCAAGTTGCAAGTGGTATGATTATGATAACTAATTGGTACTCCCCATTGAGTGAATATGGGTCTAATGAATGTAAGGGTATAATAATGTAGAATTTGTAAATTTTGTCTTTATATTATAAGGAAATTGAATTAAACCAATAATAATGAATGAATGGAGCATAATTTTAGTTGGCTTATATGATTAAAAAAACCTTATATCAAGCACAAACATTGCAACATTATGGAAATTGCTCATAAAATGTACAATCATATCAACAATTATAATGAAGCGGTAAGGAAGATGAATGAATGGATGGATTTAATTTCAAGCAGTTTCTCTGATCTTTCTGTCCCACCCATTTACCATTATTCTTATCATACTGTACATCAACAACTAATACGGAAACTGCTTAATGGAGCCTAACTGTCTTTGTAAGTAAAAGAGGAGACTCACACGTTGCTGTTGTGGTTTTTTGAACAAAGGAGGGGGATAGCCTTTCACACAGGCAGAGGATGCAAGGCTGCTGGAGTGGAATTAGTGCACAGGTTCTGCGACCTGCGGACTCAGAGAGGTGGCTCATAGATTGGGTAGCTGAGGATATACTGTATGACAAGGTAATCCTGCACCTGTGGGGATTGTTGAGGCCCTCAGAGAGGACATGCCCTTTCTCCACACTCTCTTCTTCTTCATCAACATTCCCCTATACAGGAGACCATTGTAAACCTTGTGACAGGGATATTAGAGATTAAAGAGCAGTAAGACACTGATATTGATATTAATATTTACCCTGGGGTTAATTATTTTTTTTTACATAGCTCCCATTTCACATCAGGTTATGCCATTTTGAGCAGAGCCATTACAGTAATCGTTCATCGTTGGAGGTCCGTTACACATCTGTGATGTGTGCTCGCAGTGTGGCATGGTCACCAAGCAGTTGTCAGCAACAGGCCGGTCGCGGGGCTTCGAGTGCCAACCCTCTCGTTCAAAAGGCCCGTTCCCAGTCGAAGGGAGAAATAACAGCCTGAGCCACCAGGCCGAAGCCATTGGAGGCCGTGGTCCCCGTTTCAGAGCACCAGATTCCCCAGAAACGGGAAAGCAAACTGGGCAAACGGGAATACCGTCCTTTTAGTGGCAAAAGACTAAATAAATGCAACTCCTTCGCAAACCTTTAACATCTTAATCTGCACCCCCACGAAGGACAGCAGATTGCGGAGAACACCCCCCGCCTTCCATTCAGACCCACCGCATGGGCAGTGATGAAAGAGGCCCACAGATGAAATGGGGTGGAAGAATATCAAGCAGGTTTGCTCTGGGCCAGGGAGTGTGGCGGGACGGCTGGGCCTGCAGCCCTCAGAATCCCATCTCCCACTCATACAGAGGAGGTTAATGAGGCATGGGCAGGGATCATACCGCCGGTAACGGCCAGATGTCCTGCATTATGCCTGCCGACAATAAACAATATTGCAGCTTCTCCCGCATTTGCATTAAAAAGGCGGCCCTCTGTAAGCATGTTTCGGCTGGTCCGGGGGCCTTTTCTCCTCGCCCTTTTCACACCCCACTCCTCCAGTCTCTGTGAAGGCCTTGTGAAATAATCACTCTCACATATATATTTCAGATCGCCCAATCAAACACCATGGAAGGTATCCTAGCATCTCCCTCTTGTATCCCATTCACATCAGAATATCAGAATATCGCATTTTAATTCTCAGACAAGTGTTTGGTAAGGCTATCCTTTTCGTAATTAAAATGCGAGGTTACTCCGGGCAAGTCGGTTCTCCGTGAAAAGCGAATCGCCGAGGGGTAGCACCGTCAGTCTGCACTTTCTCCTTGTTTTTAGCCTGCTTGCTGTTTGTTTCTCACTGTTTTGGAATAGAAATAGAGGATTCCATAGATTCCAGCTGATTTACCTACCCTTTATTAAGCAGCCTTCTCCGCTTTCAATGCAAACTTACTCCAGGGATTCGCCCTGGATACAGGGTGAATATTAATCTGCATTCTATAGGTGGAGCAGAGCGACACTTTCTTAGAGGTTTTCTGGTATATTCTCTGGAGTAGTGCCTCATGCAGGTGTGTCTTCCCCCCTGAAGGCCATGTGACTGGTTAAATATAACACAAATGCCCCAGCAATTATACATGGTAAACATCTCAATGGCAACAGTGGTCCATACAACAGCAGAGTGGCAGAGGTTTGTTCTGGAAGGAACTCTCTTGGTTATTTCAAAATCTGTTTTCATTTTAAATTTTACAGTAATCAGCACTGCAGAAAAAACGGGCACTTGATGCTGAAGATACTTGTACTAAAGGCTGCGAAGTTCCAGAAACCTTCCTGACACGTTTACCAAGGCGTCAGGCTGCCCCCGGTCAGATCGCTGCCGCTGGCTGGCATCTTCTGGTCGGCTGTGCTCAGTGTTTTTAATCACTGACCAGCTGGCTCGTTAGTGAATGGAACCACGGGCCCGTGTCCATGTTACTTGTGAGGTCTTGGCCCGAGGCGATTCGAGCGGTAAATGTGAGACCGCTCCCTCGAATCCGCCCCCCCACCCCCTAACCAGCCCTGTTTTCCTCCCACTCGTCTCTCACGTGCCCCCCCCCCCCCCCCTCCATTAACACATGCTTCTCCTCACCGGACACCCTAACCCTAGCTCATGCCAGAGGAAACAGCCTCCGTGTTTCTTTCTTTTTTCTTTTTCCCGGGGCCCTTGTTACACCAGGGCCACCACTGCATAAATTGCCCCTCAACGTAGGACGAGTGGAGGCACTGTAAGCTGCAGTGCAGAGGCCCGGCCCGCTAGCCGGTTTGACGGTTATCGACATCTGTCAGGCACTGCTTTTAAAGGCACATGGCCGCATTTCTCAAGGAGAGCACACAGCCTCTCTTCACGTGGGGCACACTGGTGCAGATGCTCAGATTTGGGGCCCATGTCGCATCCCGTCATCACACGCAAATGCCGTGCTCTTTGCGGAAGTTGTTCTCCGGTTCTTAATCAAAAAGCTTCCGCAATTTCAACATGGAGAATCTGTATGTAATAATATTTTATTGAAGGTTCGTGTAACAGGTGCCATCATATCCCAAAATATGAGTCAGGATGTTTGTTATCCGCCCATGTTCGCCACGGCATGTTTTGAATCTTTGTCGCGTTACTCATGGACCATGCTGGTTATCGCTCATAAATACTAGTTATGGTTCACCAGGCACCGCCACGCACAGAGAGAATGAAGGAGCTCCCTTTTCATGCTGTTCTGCTTGATCTGAGCCGTGTCACTCCTACTGCTTTCCCAGGACATGATGTACCAGCTCCTGCAAGGCCTGGACTTTCTGCACTCCCACCGTGTGGTGCACCGTGACCTGAAGCCCCAGAACATTCTGGTCACCAGTGGCGGCCAGATCAAGCTGGCTGACTTTGGCCTGGCCAGGATATACAGCTTTCAGATGGCCCTCACCTCAGTAGTGAGTATCCTGGCTTTGCTAATGAGATGATCCGTCCTGATCTTCTACTGTGTTGCCCTTTAAGAAATAAACTGGTGTCGAGTTTAAGCTACACCTGCACTACCAAATCATACTGAAATACCAGTGAGGTATATAAAATCATACTGAAAATCATACTGAAATTCCAGTTTGGCATATAAAATCATTCTGAAAATCATACTCAGAATACAGTTTGGTATATAAAATCATTCTGAAAATCCTACTCAGATTCCAGTTTGGTATATAAACAAGAGCCACAGCTTATGCTTGTGTAGATTTGAGCTCAGCCAAATAATGCGGTGAGTACGTTTACATAATTACATAAATTATTTAACTCACCACACCCACGTCTTTTTCTTTCACTTTAATGGTGTACAACACTGCACATAATTATATCAGCAATGACATCCCTACTGCAGTCATTAGTAGCCAGCAACAGGTACTCAGAGGTGAGAAAGCTCTCCATTCCCTGCTATTATTATTTGTGCACGGAGAGGGACGTCAGGCCACCCGCTTAGATTGATGCTATGGCATTTTACAGCTTTCTTGGGATTTTAAGCGTATTCCCCAATACTCTTTTCCCGAGACAAAGAGGAGTACATGTTGGCAGAAAAGGTTTGCTTGAGGGCCTAAACCTGATCCCCGTCTCTCTCTCTCCTTCTTTTCTGTGTTTGTCATTCTTTTCTTCCTATGCACCTCTCTCGTTTCCCTCGCGCTCTCGGTTGGGGCAAACCCACCATATCAAAGTGAAGGCCGAAAACATTTTCTTAGGGCCTTTGTGGGTGGCTGTCAGCTCCATGTGGGCGTGTCTGCAGAGGTAGGCTCGGCGCGGGTGAAGGAGGGTCGCACGCCGCCAAAACGGAGACTGGAATGCGACCGAGCTGCTTGTAGACGACACCGCGGGCGCAGGGTGAAAGCTGGCCGTCCCTGTCTCAGAACACGCCACGCGGACGAGGCTGGGGGGGGGTCTCCGGCCGCTTTTCATCATCGGCCCCTTTCATCTTTTGTAGATTTTCAAGATTTTTTTATATAATATGCTGCCTTGTTCAATGTAGGCGTGGGAATTTGCAGGCCTTAGACGCGTTTTTGTGCTTATCTTACACTGAAACGGTCATTTACAGAAGCCTCCTGGATACACAGGCCAACGTGTTTAAGGCATCTTTTCTTCGGGATTCCTTGTGTTGGACCTCACCAGAGATCTGCCCAGTCTCTTTAGGTCCTTGTTTTTATGAGGAATCACCAGGCGCTGGACAAAATAACTTTGGAAGCATAGAAATCTGCACAGGGACGACTTTTCAAAAAAGGGAAGGGACAGACACGTCGTTGGCCTCTGAATTCCCCTTATCACCTTCCCCGAGGGGGGGGGGGGAGCGCAGAGGGAAAACAAACACTTCCTCTCAGTCTTGGCAGATGAAGGAATATCGTTATTTTTGTATGCAAAAGCAGTTGATAGTCAGTTTTTCTTTTTCCGCTTGGGCGAGATCCTGGCTACAGCGAATACCAGGGTAAGTGAGGGGAAAAAACAGACTTGTAACAGTAACATGTAAAAAGAAACCCAGTGACTCATTCCCAAAATGTGAAACAGTATGTCGTATGAGGTGTAACGAGCAGTGGTTATTTTAAGTAATAGGTTTCATTTCAAGATTAAAGAGATAAAGGTTTATTTATGGTGTTTTCATGAATTTTTTCTTTTTATTTTGGCACATCACTCATATGTGAATGACCATCTGGCATTATTGAAAAGGACTGCCTATCAACTTGGTACCTCAGTACCACTACGGGCTTCAGCAAAGTCAGTAGCTACCCACAGACTTCTGACTGATTAAGATCTCTGCTGTGAGTGGTAATTGGTAACCTACACAAACGTACACGGTGAGGAAACTGTTGGCAAGTCAGCCAGTGATCCGCTTGTCTATTGACGTGCGACATCCACCCCCATAAACTGCCACCGTAGGACCGTCTCTGGTGAAGCTGGCATACAGACCCACATGACCCAGGACTGGCTGGGCAGGGAGTTGGATGTTCGTTGGAGACATCAGGGTGCTGTTCAAGGGCACTGGGGCGAGACTGGTGGCACACAATGCGGACGGAGAAAAGCCAAATGTGTGGAACCGAGGCAGGCAGGACTGACTTGGGGCGTTATATTGAAGTTCAGTCTGATTCACAGGAGCAAAATAAAACAAAACCACTTCATACATATTAAGTGGAACAAATGCTAACCCATCAACCAATCAGCACACAAAGTTCTGATCACCTGACTGACCCTCCCATGCTGGCTGTATTTAGATACAGCGTGGATGCTTTTAGCAACACAAGGACTGAGTGGGTAGCACTGCTGCCTCACACCTCCAGGTTTTGAGCTTTGAATCTCTTGCTCTGTGCATGTGGAGTTTCCATGCTTCCCCATGGGTTTCCGCTGGGTGCTCAGGTTTCCACCTGCAGTTAGGCTAATTGGCGTATCTTAATTCGTTTTAGTGTACAACTGTGTGTATTTACCCTGCAATAAACTGGCATGCCATGCACAGTGTGCCCTAGCCTTGTGCCCTGTGCTGCCTGACATGGTCTCCAGTACCCCCTGCAACCCTGACCAAGATCGGGTAACGCTTTGTATTAACTACCACTTCATAATGCATTCATTATACATTAATAGAACATTCAGTGCACCTTCATAATGCATTCATAGAACATTCATAAGCAGCATGTAAGTATACTTTAACATCGTAACATTCCTTAAGAGCTTTAATATACATTAACAACAAATGTTATATGATATTAACAAACATTATAATCATATAATGTTTGTAATTAATGTATATTAATACTCTTAATGTTAGAATGTTAAGGTATAATTACATGCTGCTTATGAATGTTCTATGAATGCATTATGAATGCCTTTATGAAGGTGCACTGGATACAGTTAGCTCAGATGTTAATACTTGTAACAGTCTAAGCTTTGACGGAAGCATTTGCGATGCATTGGGAATTATCCTCATGCTATAAACCCGAGAACAAGACCAAGCTGAGGTATGTCATGTAATTGAATTGCTGCCATGATGTAACCAAGCAGCCTGGGTGCCACCTCAGTATGGGAGTCTGGCATGGCATTCAAGCGGCCTTGCAGTGTGCAGCACGCTGTAGTGTATTCTTTTAGCACCCACCCCCCCAAGTTGCCTTCAGAGGACCTAGTTAAATGGAAAAAGGGTCCCTCAATACAAATGGGACCACCCACTGGGCACTATCGGGGGGGATTAGCATGGATAGGCAATTCACGTATTGTCCTCCCACCATCGGATAGTTTTATTATGAGTCCAGCGTCCTTGCATTGTCCTTGCGTCTGACTGACAGCTTCACAGCTTCAGACCATGGGGTGGGGAGGAGCTTGGTCACAAAGGGGCACATTTTATTTTTTCCCTGTCCCCATTGATAGCGATTGTCCTGCTTTATACCACATTTCAGGTCATTTACAATGACAGCCTTTTTCAGTCACAAACTTTAATGACAGGAGGCCACTTATTACCAGTATAAAGATATTCTGCTGTAATTTCTATACTGCTCGATTAAATTAAACAGAAGATTTTTCATCCAGAAAACACTGGTGTTGCCTTCCCTTCTTTCAGAATCCCACTCAGGTGCTTGCCAGGGTGAAAACTGCGTAGTTTGCTTACATTTGAGGTTAATTGGGGAACTTTTCATACTGATGTGAGTTACTACGGGAGGCCTTGAGACCATCAAAGTGTTCAGGAGTCAATTCTGAAGATATCGTGCACAGAATTGCACAAGTAACTCGATTCAGGATCCGCAAGCAACAGTCACAAGTCGTTTATCGCAGTTCGCACTACGTTACTATGGCAGTGTCATAAACACAAACACCCAGATGGATATGGCCAGATTGGCCAAAACTGCACCGCCCGACAGAAGATATGAGACATGGCACTGATGGGTTTCGCTCGTCGCTTGTTTTCCCCGATCTCCACCAGGAAGGCATCCCGAGACACAGTTTTGAACTTGAGGAAAGCAGAACAAGTTCTGACCCAACTTTTCTTTACTCTTATTATGGCACGAGTGTTTTTAAGTAAGACCCCATGGCTGCAGTGTAGCGGTTTACAATCCTGAAAGGACTCATGGTTTTTAAAACATACAATGATGTTACTGTTATCATCCTTGGAGTGGAGTCTGTACAAGAGGATAGAATGTATATATAGGGTTATAGAATATCTCAGTACAGCCATATCAATGTCCGATGCCAGTGGTGGTAGATAATGACCTACCACGGGATCATTCTCAAAGAACTCCACTATCTCAAGTGATGGTTACATGCTGATAATGTGTCACCGTACAGCCATTTCTATGGTTCTGGGGTGGTGTGTGGCTCTGTGGGTTTAGACTCTGTGCCCGAGATCAGGCAACAACCAAGGTTGTTGGTTCACATCCCATAGTCTGTAGAGTGACATCACTGGTGGGCCCTTGAGCAAAGTCCTTAATCCCAATTGTTTCTGGAACACTGCCTAATCCTGACTTGTAATTGATTTTGCACAAAAGTGTTTGTTAAATGAATAAAATGTACATGTAGGCTCTGAACCACCATGGCCCTGCATTGGACAAATTTAGAAAATTGATGGATGATGGACGGATGTTGGAACCATCTGCCTGCCCTCAAAATGGCTCCCCAATTGAACGCACACTCAGGGTCTTTGGTCTCGCAGACTACAGAAACCTCAGAAGCACGGCCTATTTGAATCAGAGTAAATATGCTCCACGGGCCGATTGGCAAAGGGGACAGGAATGTGGCATTTTAAATCCAGTTTTTACAGTGGGGAAGCCTTAACAGGTGGTGCCAGAAGCCCATTTGCAGTGCTGTGGGCAATGGTTGCAATGCAGTGAACCTAAGGCGCGACCGAAGCAAAACGAATGTCCAGCATTGTTTACCCATCAAATTTCATCTTTGTAAAGATCCTTTCCCTGAGTTCAGCCCTCTATGCAACAGCTGAGTTTTTCATATAACCTCACCATTAAATAATTGATACTGTACGCCCGTATTGTTAGCTTCAGAGTTGCGTAATTGTGTCAAAAACCTTCCTACTGTATATTCATCAGGAAAATGATCTCGTCTTTACAGAAAACAAAATCTTGTGCTTTAAGGGTTTAACTTTAGAGGTTTAATGTAGCAATTACATTTATTGTTGTGGTTAAAATAAAAAGTGAATGGGGGAGTGGGCAGTCCCGTGACGCATGAAACGGGCACAACATCGTGCTTGTGCCCTGTTTACGCCTATGCACACGCATTGTGTCGTGAAAAAAAGGCCTTCCACAGGCAGCCACTGCATACCAGACCCAAAATAACCGCGCCAGCAGGAGTCCTTTGGGTCCCGTCACTTCCTGCCCACAACTGGAGGAATGAATTCCTCATGTTAGCGAAGCTCACCGCTGTTTCAGGCGGCCCCCGCCCCCCGCCCCCCGCCCCCCGTTCACTTAAGGTCTCGTGTGGAAGCAAATCGTGCCCAACCGCCGAATCGACAGAAGAAGGAGGGTGCAAAACAAGGCGGAGGGGAATACGTTAATAAAACCCACCTCCAATGATCAAGGTTCGCTCAGACTCCAATCCCACGGCAGGACCTTTGTGGCAGTGTCTCATTTTGTATAATCTGCTTTTAAAGAAAAGAGATACATTTGTATTTTTCCTTTCCATTCGTTAAATATAAATACATGGCTAGATGAATAAGATATATTAAATATATTGCAAAATATGAGCTAATCTGGGATCATGAGCGGCTTAAATAAAAGGATGTAAATAGACTGAAAGGCAGGCCTGCTGAGTAGAGTTACTGTATTACTGTATTACTAAGCATCTGTATTTGAACTTTTTATTGGCCTTTGCATTTAACATGCGTATTTAAGATACTTATTTAACATACTTATTTGATTTCAGCATTGCAAGGTTTTCATATATAAATACCTTAAGAGAAGCAGACGTAATTCTGGAAATAGTGCAATTGCAGAGATCATAGCATTACGCATTGTGAAACTGAAAATTAAAAGTGGGAAAATAAAAGTTGCTTTCTCTGTTCCATGCACGACAGAGGCCTCCTCTCAGCGGCTAACCAGCTAGCTAGCTAGCTAATCGGGTCATGTATGAATTATTGGTGTTTCCTGTGCAGCTGGGACAGAGAGGCATTTTCTCTCTGTAATTAAGTTACTCTCTGTATTTAGCCTTCTTAAGAACAGGGATTCCTTCCATTTTCTTCGGGGAAAAGTCCAACATATGTTTGCCTAACATGGAAACTATCCTTTTGAGATGAACGTGCACGATCTCCATGCCCGTTCCATCACTTAGCAAGACATCTGTGCAAAACAGCTGCAAGGTAGCAAAGGTAACAAACACAGGACACACGTTACTGAACAGAGGTCATGTGACATAAGATAGGGGTGTTAGTGAACACATGACGTGTGCTATTGATCAGATCACACAGTTCATTGAACAGAGTACAGATAACCCAGGATTCTGGTACTAACCACAGTACATGGTACCGAACACAGGATACGTTTGTTTTTGGACAGGTATTACTCAAAGAAATAGATGAGCTACCAAACACAAAACGACCAGCCATTACCAACCTGTCTTTCCATTAACCATTTCATTGGTAATAATCACCTCTGTTCACATCCCACCCTCAGTTCTGTACGTTATTTTTAAATCATGTCCTTCACTTTCCATGTTGCCTTGAAAGACCTGGTGACAGGAAAGGCTGAAAATCTCGGTATGACTAATACCTGCCCGCCCGGATTTTACCAGAGAACAAACCAAGCGATTTTCCACCTATGTTTCTGTCTGCATGCAGTGGGGGTTCCTGCAAATAATCCGGGACAGACGCACCACACAATGTAGCACTTGGAGCGAATGAACGGCCAGCAGGTTGACAGGTCAGGCCCGATTTCAGCACGCTGTGTCAGGAGGTGAAGCTGTTCACACAAATATCGTGCAATCGACGCACTTTGCAATTCTGACCCAGCGTTTATGCTCCGGGCTCTGCCAATCATTCGAGTTTCTCCTGGGTTAATTGTCGAAGGAAGCTGGGCAGGGGGCCGCCTCGTGTGGACCTGATTTGAGGGGGAAAGAAAAAAAAATGGGATTCTGCATATTAAAGCTTTCCCTGTACCAGGGAAAAAATGGTAAAAAAAAAAATAAAAAATTACAGCATATATCAGGAATTTTCCAAGTAATGATTCGCGGATGTGGAAGCGTTGGGGAAACGGGGCCTTACTGAGCCGCCTTTGTTCGCGAACACTGGGCCCCACACTGAATTCCTTTAAGCGCTGCATACTTTGGCAGCCGCTGTGCACTTTTTAACTGTATGCTGTGCACCATTGCGCTGCGATTTGCACTGAGCGTATCACTCTCCTCCAAGCTGCCTCCTTAAATGTGCGTGTCTCTTATTTTGCCCTGTAAACAGTCTTTTTCGGGAGAGCTGATGCCGACTTCAGGTCACTCTATTGACGCGGTAAGGGACAGATTGACCAGTAAGGGGTGGGGACTCACTTCAGGTCCCAGTCTGCACAGGCCAGTGTGGGTAACACCAAAGTTTGTCTAGCTGCTGACAGCCTGTACCATATGTAGGATAATGTAGAGGGGTGCGCTGGACAATACCAAGTGTCACTCCCAAGACTTGCTGAGGCAAAAACTAGACACATGATATGCAAGCCTGGCTTCCTGCTTTCAATGATACAAGATATCCTTCTCTGACAACATGCACTATTTGCATTTTGAAGCATCTAACAAAAGAAATATGAGTAAGACAGGTAGAGAAAACACAGGAGTTTGGAGAACCATTTTTTCAAGCACCAGGTGGTGTGCTGGTTAAGGGTGCTGATTTCCCCACTGGAGACCTCGCAAGGAGCAGTTGAAATGTTCAGTTGTATAAATAGATGCTATTACAAGCTGCCAAACCTCTTATCTTGTGCAAAGCCTCTCAGTCCTGCCGCTTCTTCCGTGTTTGACCACGTGCTGTTGAGTCAGACCGGATGGAATGGCCGTGTGGCTGGCCGACGTTCGGCAGGCGTCAGGAGGCGTGCCAGGATTTACCGAGGGGCTTTGGACGTCTCCTAAGCAACAAAACAGTATCTGCCATCAGAAGCTATCCAAGTATCCAAAAGCTGACGGTTTGCCAAGGTGAATCTTCAGAATTTAAAGGGACAGTGAGGAGCACCTTGCCCCCGAGCTCAGAGCTTTACTGTCGGGATTACGAGGGAGACATTTACTCCCACGGACACGACGGACAATGAGAACTGGATCATCACCCCTCGTGCAAGCTTGATGTGTGTAGCTGGCACAGTCTTGAAATTAGGTACATATTACAATCCAGTGGTGACGCAAGGATCCGCCACAATCGGGAGGCAAATTCCCATGAGACACAGCTCCTCTGTGTCTGTGGTACGGTATAAGCACTGCAAAGTGCTTCAGCACCAGCCAGAGATCTTGGCTTGTGGATGTGCGGATATCCCTTTAAAACCACCCCGGCCTGCCGAGGAGGATGTGAAGGTCCATATTAAAGGCTCTTTCATCCCTCACTTCCTCCTTGAGCGAGAATGTAAACACAGGGCTCCATCCAACTCCGTCGGCCTGCCTTCTTCTAAGTTGCATTGTGTGCCATTGTTTCAGCTGCACGCAGGAAATAGAATTAGAGAGAGGGGGACCGTAGACCAGTTCTGAGTGAATAAAAACAAAATCTTCCCTCCTGAGGAGTATTAATTTTATGGATTTGGGTGCAGGCTTGATGAGTGGAGCTTCTAGGGAAAGACCAAGTGGTTCCTCAGAAAGGAAGGTGTAGAACGTGGCCATTTCATCTGCAGTGATAGCCAGCCTGCTTCTGCCAGGCTGACTGGACTTGAAATGTGCATGCCTATGATAAATTGTATTTTATTTAACAAGAAATATGTTCATACTAATTTATAAACTGGTCGATTAATTACTTGTTTTGTTTAATGTTTAATGTTTTGGCTCATTGGAGTACATATTAAATACATATAAAGCTACTAAAAGATGATACACTGGGCTGCAATCTGCGGAGTAAAAGTGATGTCTTTTTGCAAATTTGCTAAAAGTGTAACTGATTTGATTCATGTGGTTCGATATTGAGATTAACCCGGAGATTCAGTAAAACATTTGCAAGCTTGAAATTAGTATTTAGGAGGTATAACAGTGCAACAGTTCAAGGTGTAAACGCTTCAGTATACAGTAGTTTCCATCATGCAACCATTCTGCTCTCCTTTTAAGTGGTGCCCATGACGTGTATCTCTGCAAGCTGCCCAATACGCTGTCGTTGCAGTGTAATGTTTACCATATATAAATAATTGCAACAGGCAAATGCTCGCTCACAGAATACATCAAAACTCTGCTGTGCTTCAAAGAATTTCCACTTGACACCGGCATCTCTCACAGCCCTGGTTCCTGCTGGTGGGACAGACCTCTGGTGAAGCCTTCTATTAACGGCGGCTGTGTGGGGCGGATATGCTCAGATGGTAACGTCGCTTCACTGTAGCATGCGGTTCTTCTTAGAAGTCAAAATCCTATACATTTATAGCTTTTTCTGAAAAGCAGTTAAGAGGAAAAAAAGGCTGTGGTTTTTTGTTGCATAAGTGCAAATAAGTCTACCGTTTTTTTAAAGGGGAATCTAGTATCTGATTAAGGTCGGGTTCTCATGCTTGGTAGACATTGACAGTTGAGTAATTTTCCTATTTTGACATGGTTTGTATAATGATAAAAGTTTTAAAGAGTCGGTATCATTCTGAAGGGAAGCTGAATTTTGAAAATCAGGTGTTTTTTGGGAACCAGATTTAGGAAGCCATGTGATAACAGAATGATGTAATGAATAGCCTATCAGGAAGGAACTGTGGCTTAATCTCTCAGGACTGACATTAGGCTCCACCATGAGGCCTTACCCCAGAAGACAACAGCAGGAACCAGCTGCTTATCCTGAGACAGTAGAAAGAGACAACTGCAAAAGTTTATTTCAGATTCAGAGCAGGGATATTTGTTTTTTAAGGACCAGATTCAGATCAAGACCAAAGTGGTGTATGAATTTGTTTGCATTCTGCACATTTAATTGGAGGGGAAGGTAAACTCTGTGAGGATGGGAAGAGCTCTCTCCTTTGTTAAGGTACCGTGTAAAGGCAAAGCATTCAGAACAAAGTGGCTTTACGGGGCTTGAGATCAGCATTTGTAGAAATTGTGAAAACAGGCGAAGTTTGATTATGTGTTGAATTAGGGGTTAAGATGCATGTCTATGATAATGTAAAGTTTTAAAGAAACAAGTTATTAGCCATGTTTTCAAAAAGCCTCATTGTTCATCCTGTACTTGTAAATTGTAAGACTTCCAAAAAAGAAAAAACGTTTCGAATGCTATTTTATTAAAACTTCATAGCCTGGTCTTAAACATTGTCCCAGTTTTTGTAGCTTGTCTATAATGCTAATAGCTATCTCGTTTACCTCGTGTATTCTCCACAAGGTGCCTACAAGATATAAATCCTTTTTTCCCCCGGAAGGCAGAGTTAGAAAATGGCAGCGGAAGATGCTCACTTTTGCGTCAACTGTTGGCCTGTGGGTGCCTGGTGTTTCAAGTTTTCAATGAATGGTGTGAGATTGAAGAGGAACCATCACGCAGTAACCACACACGGCCGCTTTGATCACATCATCACAGACTAAGGGCAATATTTTCATGACTTCCTGTGCATTTCCACTTAATCAGGAAGGCTAAAATAAGAGACAGTAGCTTATTTAAGTCCTACAGCTTCTTTGTAAATCCCATTTATAAAATTGCTATTTTGAGAGTCAGAATAATTGCAAATATCAGACGCCCTTGTTTGGGAGCTAATCTGCAGGACCAATGACTTTTTCACTCTTAGTTTGTGTCTTCATAACATTTTCATCTTGGCAGATATGCATTTAACATATTTAGTGTGTAGTGTCTGTCCCATGTGAAAATAATTGTTTAAGCCAAATAAAAGAAACAGTGATGAAGGAAGCATTTGAATCAAGCGTTAACTCAAACACAGATGTCATCTCCACTGATATCAAATGAAAACATATGGCCAAATAAAGCATTAAATATGTCATAACACTGCTATTATATACTGATTCGGTATGTTTCCCATAGTTCCAAAGGTGGGTTCTCTCACTCCTTATGTCCACTTATGTACCTCGCCATCGGTGCTTTGCTTTCAGGGCTGCCCCATTAGTCATCTTTGTAGATTACATTCTTGGGGTTTCTGTTTCTATCAATCGTGCAGCAATAAGGCACTAATATCAGTAAGCCTCCAATCGATGCCTCTCTCTTTTTTTGTAGAATTATATGAGCTGTCTTGTCCCATTAGTCATCTTTGCAGATTTGCAAAAAAGTGATTAAGACAGTGGGGGTTGGTAACATCCAGATAGTACCGGCTTTGGTTCTCTTCAGGAAGGAACATGGCACTGTGGACAAAGATGCAGGTTTATTGTCTTTTGGACATATGCCTTATTGTTTCATGAAGACGAGCATGCGAGGATTTATGGGACATTTCTAAGAAAGGCTAGCTCATCTGGTTACAACACCTTGCTAACATAACATCCTGCTCAAGGAAGCATTTTAGATGTTCACAAAAAAGATTCCATAAACGGTAATGCTTTACATTAACTGTACCCTCATAATGCCTTTATAATGCATTTATAGAACATTCAGTGTATCTTCATGATGCATTCATAGAACATTCATAAGCAACATGTAAGGATATCTTAACATACTAACATACCTTAACAGCCTTAATATACATTAATAAACATTATACAATTGTAATGCTTGTTATTATTAAGCTGCTAAGTTATGTTAGGATGTTAAAGTATACTTCCATGCTTTGAATTATTATTGTCTTACAATTGCCATATTATTATGTAAATTATTTACATCCGCTGATAATCAAACACTCATCTGTCCATTATATGGAAAGTTATATCAAAAATCAGAAAAATCCATGTTTGGATGAGTCATTGAACACCCTTGTGCAAACTTTATGTAAAATAGAATTATTGACAACCACAGTGGAAACTTGCAGTGATATCTATATAGCAGAATTCTTCAAATTTGGACCTCGATTCCAAATACAGGCCTTGTTTTCAGTTCTCCAAGGTACTTAGTTTAATAATTACTGATTCTGATTGGTCAGAGGCTTCACACCTGACTGACAGTTAAAGGAAGGCTGGAAAACCAGCAGTGCTCGGACCTCGAGGACCGTGATTTGAATAACCCTGCTATATAGCGATATAAGCAGCCTCTCCTCACTGCATGATGAAGGGTGTTCAGCCTAAACCTCACATTCACCCACTGATGTCCTAAATGGCTAAAAAGTCACCCAAGTGAATTATAATACCTGACAAGGTATCTAAAGATCTGCATATACAGATGGTATTTGGGCTTCTCAAGATTACGGAGGTGCGTCTGATGGCATGGCTTGGTCTCAGCCTACACATGGACTGGAAATGTCTACAGTCTTCCCAGATTTGTCTTTAAGTGGCTCTAAAGGAGGAGAGGAGCCTTACCTAATGTAAACAGCAGGTCCTTCCCACTACGGTTGGCTGACTGCTGGACATTTCCGTGGAGCTCTCTGGAAACGAGTCCCGCATACAGATGAGCTGCACAGCCAGTGCAGTGTATGAAAGGCCAAGCCCAAAAGCCATTTGACGGAGTTGCAGTGTGAAACGCTGACTCTGTCTTCTTCACGTTTTCGCTCTGAGTCTCCAGGCATACCCAGGCCGCAGGCTGGCCAGCCTTTCACAGACCCAGAGCTGTACAAACTTGCCTTAAATATCAGCCTTGTGTCAGCCACTCCAGTAAAGGTACCACAAACGCTAGCGTGTCTCAAGTTAATCCTCTCGCCTTTGAGGCTGCAGCTGGAGGACAAGATTGTGGATAGCGTTCTTTTTGTGTAACTTGACAATTTGAAATACAAGTAATGGATAAAAACATCATTATTTCCATCCTAAATGCTTTATACTCTCATTGTGCAATTTGAATAACCTGGACTTTTTTGAAACAATATAGCTTTTTAAAAGTTTCAATATGCTTACAGTTATATGAAAGTAATTCCAATAGTAGAAGTGAATTTGACTTTGGCTTTATTTATTTTCACTGATGTTGTTGTGGTAAGGTATTTTTGTGAGTTGGTATGTGTATTCATTATTATTCTGCTTATTCTGGACATTCTTATTATTCAAAATTGTGTATTATGTCTGCACATGTGGCATCTTGGTGCTGTGGGTGTCAACGGGAACATTTACTTGAGTCAGATTAGCAAAGTCTCTGTGAAAGACCATTGTGACATATTTGCTAGTTGATGTACCGTATTTGCCGGCGTATAAGATGACTTTTTCCCCCTGAAAAACATGCCTCCAAGTGGGGGGGTCGTCTTATAGGCCGGGTGCACTTCAGTTGGGATAGACATAGCTGCCCATAGTGGCCTCCCGATGCCCGCCCGGTGCCCATAGTGGTCTCCCGATGCCCGCCGGTGCCCATAGTGGCCTCCCGATGCCCGCCGGTGCCCATTGTGGCCTCCCGATGCCCGCCCACCTCATTCTACATACCATCCAGTATCACGCGGTATCCAGCGCGGCGGCGGCGGGTCATCAGCGTGGCTGCGGCGAGCAGCAGCAGCGAGACAGGGGTGCCAGCCTTTTCGGCGTGACCGGCCCGTTCTGCTCGGCGGGAAGCAGCGGCACTCCGGCCCGCCCCTTGTCTACGCAGAGCTCGCACATGCGCACTTGCGCACTAGTGCCGGTCACAAGGAGATGCAGGGGCGGGCCGGAGGCCCTGCGGCCGTACAATGGTGACAATGACAGTTACTGTAATGGCACTAATACTAATACTAATGGCACTCATGTAATACCGGTATAATACCGGTAACAATAATAGCACACAGGGGTGTGCGGAAGAGGGGGTAGTCTTATACGGCGAGTATATAACAAACTCTATATTTTGAGTGGACACAGTGAACACAGATGATATTGCCAGTTTAGCTTGTATGTGGGTTGTCATCTGAGGCAGAAAGGAGGACCCTCAGTTGTTAGTTACAGTACGAATTAATGTTTGCCGTAAGCCAAAGCTCAAAGGGACCCAGTGGCATGCCGTCTTGTGTGACCTACCTGGAGATCCTTGGGAGGTAAATGACAGCAAGGATGAGGTTCCCGCATACAGTACATCACCTTTAGCCCATTATGGATCCCTATGAGAGGTGATCTGATGCAAATAGGATTGCTGGCAGATATAAGAAAAGAGCCATTTATATGGAGCAATACTGTCCAATAACATCCTATTTAATGTAATTTTCACTACTATTTCATAAACTGCATAAACTTTTTATTCTTCTTAAGCATTGGAAAGTTGAACAAGTATAAATGAAAATATAAGTGAAAAGTTTCTTTATAAAAGAAACATACTCTTTCCATATTATAAATATGGAAAGAGTATGTCTCAGGGTATGTCTGACATCCTATTATTATATCTTATTGTTATATGGTGATGACATAGTCACATTCTAGGCTGTCATTTAACTTTAAATGCGCTAATTAAGTGTTTCATCTAATAAAACAGCAGTATTTAATTTCCCGTGTAGAAAGAATCCCTATGAATTTTCTCTGCTGTTGCTAGAGGAGGTTACTTTGATGAATGAAAAATATGACATTTTCTTGCTAAAAATGTACTCAAATGGTGAACATACTATAAATTTATTTGTTATCAAAGAATATGGAGTGTATTTTTAGTAAATGATAAGTCAGTTACATGCAAATGTAGAAAATCTCAGTATGTGCAAAACCTTTTGACTGGTAGTGTTACCATAATAGCAAAAAACACAACTGGAAGGAATTCCTGCACTGATTTAGATATGATAGGAAAAGAATTACTTAAAATAAATTTAAACATAATTACAGTCACCCCTTCACATTCGTGAGGCTTAGGGGCAGAAATTTGTGAATAATATTTGGTTCCATTATTAAAAATGCAAAATTAACAGCACTGAAAAGTTTAAAAGTTTCTGCAAGAAATGTAAGTTTCACGGTTAGAGCGACAACTAACAAATGAGTGAGGCTGGTTGTTAAGACAAAAAATGCATGGCATGCAGACTTTTAATATTAAAGATATAGTATGCACTGACACTAACAAATATTAAATAACACTAATTATATATTATATAATTTTATGTGATCTAAAATATTTTCAGTATTGTTTATATATTTTAAGCAATCTCCTAAAATATGCCCATTTTATTGCTCAAGGCCAGCTCACGAAACAGAAATAACTAATGCCAAATTCGCAGATATGGAAGGGAGAATGTACATCAATGGTCGAAATCCTAAATACAATAGCAAATATAGAATACAGTGTTAATTATCAAAATTGACATTGAGTCAATACATGATGTTTTAAAATAGACCAATTTCTTATGAGTTTATTTAAAGTATAAAATCATTGCAGTGCTATCCATAATAATTTTACACCCATAAAGAGTCTCTTTTTCACTGCCCAGTGAAATAGCTAACAGGATCGGCTCAGGGTCGAGGGGAACACCTCTGATGATCTGCTGCAGGCAATGATCCACTCAGGGGCTTCTATACCTTTCTTCTTTCTTGCTGGCTTTTCATGCCACATGCCAACATTTCAGCACAGCATTTAACCACCAAGGGACTCAAAAAAGGCTCAATTTGAAGGAGACATTTGAAATGTAAGAAGCTTTGAGTCAGTGTCAGTCTTCCTCCTGGCCTAACTCAGAATCATGGTGCGCCTACTGTGTGCGCGGCAGGACTGACCTCCGTTAGGCTGTATGGGTTTTCCACACCGTGTTCACCCTTTGTGTGTGTGTGTATCTATTCCGCTGCAGGTTGTCACGTTGTGGTACCGGGCCCCAGAGGTCTTACTGCAGTCCAGCTATGCCACACCGGTAGACCTGTGGAGCGTGGGCTGCATATTCGCCGAGATGTTCAGCAGGAGGTTAGTGTACTTCCTTTGTGAAAGCTTCTATAATCACATATTAAATCACATAGTATTGTATCATAGATCGTCTTTTCACTACTACACAACTCACTATATGTTCACTTGTTACTTATAGTTCTCCTTTGATTATACTGTTTGAATGTCTGCCATATTCCTGACTAGGATTGCTGGTTAGAAGATGTATGGATGGATATGTACTGTTTGATAGTGTCCCCAGACCCTGAACAGCACAACTGGTTAAAATATATAAAGACAAGGAGGTTATAAGAAGCGTAAGCAATTACAAGAAGTTTGGATGGATGTTTCATTGATTCTTATTTCACATTAGATTTCACATTTCACGTGGCCCTAGGGGTAACCTCCTTTCACTGGCACCTGGGAAGCAGAGCATAACTTCCTGCTTTTTTGACGGTTGGGCTGTTGAACGTTAATGAAATTCAGTTGGAGCCTTTCCGTGGTTTCAGACTTCTGAGAATTCAGCTTCAGATATTTTTTTTTTTTCACCGTTTGTGGTTTAACGTTAATTTTCACAGCGAGAGAGAATCACCAGTCGCACAGTGATTAGCAAGCCCACATCGAAAATTTGGTTTAGATGGGGTGGGGTGGGCTGGATCCGCTTCCCCATGCGATATGTCTTCCGCTGTGCTTACAAGCCCTGCGTAGATGCATGTTTGTTTAACGTTTGGGGATTGACATGAAAACGAAGCCCAACTGAATGGCATTTGGTGCTCGGCTGGTCATTCGTAGCGGAGGACTGCTGCCAGGTGAGTGAGGCCCTGGTCATTTCTGTGTCTTTCCCCTGATAAGTAACATCCCCTTTTCAGCTCTCTGGGCTCAGGCAGGCTGTAGACCGTTACCCCATCTGACCTGTCACCATTACTACACATTTTTTGATTATACTCAGTTGCTAACTGCGACTGTATGTTTAACCAGATGCTAACCAGATGAGTAACCTGTTACTCTAACTTAGTTAGACCATCAATGCAAAATACTCAGTCATACGTAGTTGAGCTAATTGTACTCTTTGGCCCTGTATCCTGAGAAGGACAACATTTTCAGCTTTTATTTAATAAGTATGTTTTCTTTTTAATATGTATACGACTTTTTATAGCAGAGTAATGCGAAACATTGGTTCCCATGTTCATTGTCCTTCTGTTCACACCATAATCCATCTCCTAGTTTCCTGTTTTATTTCTGCCATGAGTATGTCCTTCCTGATTTTCCATTCCCAGTAAAACACTCTCTTTACTCGTATGCCACGATTTTGGGAGCGAGACCTTCAACGGCGCTCTGGCCAGCTTCTCACGTCCTAAAGAAAATCCCCAGACGCTACACAGGTTCTGTATGTTTGGTCCATAAAGATAAAAGGCTCTGTCTCTCCAGCCGGTCTCTTTAAATAAAAGCAATAGAGCAATGTAGAATTTCTCACTTTGGATGCAACGAAGTATGCCTGTGGGTCTGTATGTCCGAAAGATAACTCTCTTTGGGCATCAACTGTCTGGGTGCAGAATCGCTGCAGAACAGAATCAGTTTCTGGGTGCCAGTCTTTCACATATCACACAGGGTGCTGTGACTTAGTGCTCAGCAGCTTTGATTTGAGAGGTAATGGGACAATCACATTTAACACCCAGCTGGCCATGAGACACTTCAGACACGTGTTGCCAAAATGACCTTAAATAGCGTGGGACAGATAGAGCGCATCTGAAGGTGAAATTCCAGCCTTAAAGATTGTTTCAAACCACGTGCCAAGTCTCACAAATCCTCAAGGAATGTTTTGGAGCGGAGACTGAGTCATTCCCGTGACAGCAGACACGGGTTGTGTGCATTGACACAGTTGGATAACTTTCACTTCAGGCCAGGTACCTCGCTCAAGGCTAAAAGGGCACTCCACCACCCATACTCCGTGTTCCAAACCTTAACCACCAATCACACGGGGGGTAACTGAGTAAAGTCTGCCTCCACCCCGCTCCTGTCTAGGGGTGTTGTTTTCCTTTTAAAATGCCCTCAAATTCCCACACATGGAGAAAGCTGTCACTCTTATTTGGTTTCCTGATGAAACTGGGGGGGCTTACTTTCTTGCAAACGAAGAAGGCTTGCATGGAAGGTGCAGGGGTCAGGTCAGGAAACCCAAAGATCTGTGGTGTTTTTGCATTTTCCAACCTACCGTTACTTGTCTCTAAACATTTTCAGATTCCTGAAGGCCCTTTTTATCATTTACCGAAGAGCCATCGGCTGTATTAGTAAATGATTTGAGAATATTCACCGTCAGCCAGGTTTTCCCCATGCCTGTCTTAGCAGTGACAAACTCTTGCATTTGGCTCCTCTTCTTAATGCGGAGCCTCCCCCAAGTGTTGACATACTCATTTCACACTCATGCACGCTTCTTGTGCCTGTGTCACACTATGCCTTGAGAACCGAAAGCCCTGACCATGCCAGTGTCAATTTCAAACCCGGCAGATCTACGGAACCCTGGGGAAATCCCAAAAAGGAGGCAAATGCACAGCGTAAGTTTGGGTTGTGCAGTGGAGTGTGTCATCATCTGGCAGCTAGCAACCACAGGGTCGCTGCCATCAGTTAGTTCCTGTTTCTATGGTAATGGCCCCCGGCCTTCATATTGGATAATCGGACCTCCCTTAACCTGCACCCACATGCCATTTGCAGCAATAGTGCTTTGTTATCAAGTTACAGTATATATGAAACTTCCCACTGAAGTAAGACATTAATAAAAATAATTGATTGACAACCAGACTTAATTTGTTAATCCAGAGAATAATTGCATGTAAATGATGAAAATATGTAAGAAGAGTCTTGCTATTAATATCTGCTGATACATTTTAATGCTTAGTTAATATGAGCTTCTGAAAGTATCTCTTATTGAGTTACCGCTGAAGTATCATAATACCATAAAGGGTTATTCCGCCAGAAATTGTTATTAAGATTTCTGTTTAAAATCATCTCTAGGTTACGGTACTCCACCCAGTAGGACCTAATCCTTTGTTTCAACAAAACATCGCAGATCACAGTTCTCACATTTTGCTTTGATGGGACAGGTACATGAATGAGATTCAGATGACCACATGCATCCTTCTATTTCAAAGGAACTGGGAGTGTATTGGAAGTACTTCTATCATTTCTGATCACTCTCTGAGAACAATAGTAAATGTCTGCATTCACATCTGAATTTATGGTATGCGGAGAAGAATGTATCCTAACAGCCGTCATTCATAATTAAGACACCTGTTATATCTTTCCTATCCATCCATCCTATGCAGGATAGAGGGGGTCTAGGGCCTAGGGCCTATCCCAAAAGTTATAGACACAAGGCAGAGAACAACCCAGGATGGGGGGGCCAACCCATGGCCAATTTGGCAACTTCAGTTCACTGTGGGGGGTAAACTGGAGAACACCCCACAATGACAGAGAGAGAACAAGCAAACTCTCCCCCACCCCAAGCAGAGTCTCGAACCTCACTCCAAGCGGTGTGAGGCAACAGGGCTAACCACTGTGCCAGCCCTCCTATGTTTTATATGTTCGGGAATTTCTTTAACAAGGTCTTTATTTGCATTGTGATTTTTTAAATATAAAAATGACACCATTTGCTCACCTAAAAGCAAACATTTCATATGAGTAATGTTATCATAATCATTTCCTAGTAAATGTATTACACTCACAGACTATTACCAATACCATCAGTTTGTTTTTCATAGCTGTCTATCCAGTGCAGGGTCTCTGTCTGCCTGTATCTCAGGAAGTACAGAGTATTAGACAGCCGGACACAGAGAGTCTGCTCAGCCCTCACAGGTCACACACACACACAAAGCACAGTTCAGAGACCAGCTACTGATCCAGCTAAAATCTGCATTGTGGGTCAAAGCTGGTCTGCGTGCTAGATGCAGACACTGAGCAGGACTCGAACCCACAACCCAGGAGGTATGAGGGCACAGTAGCCCTGCCCTCCCAGCGATAAGTTGTTAGTTAGACATGACATGCTTGACACCTCAGCCTGACAGCCTTATTCCTCAGTGCACCACCAAAACACCCTCTGCACACTCCTCTGCATGTCCCGCTTTCGTCAAGCTGTGCTGGAACATCCCCAGACCTCCTCTGTATCCAGAACAGGGACAATCCCCCACAGACCACAAGAGGCGACCTTTTCAGAGTCTACCACACCCATGGGCTCTCTGTTCGAATAGAGACGTAATCCATTAAAACGATACCTTCTGCAAGCTAAGGTCCAGCTGCCATTCCTGCAATCAGCACTAAAAGAGACCCAACGTTTCAGTTCTGACTGTCTTGATACGCACATATTTGCAGAAAAATTCCCTTGATAAGTCAGTCATTGCCACCCCTCCCTACCCACACATGAATTGTAAAGCACACAGGCACACATTCCACTGATAACTCTGCACCCCTCACATCCTCAATTGCATACACACACACACACACACACAGTCCTGGAATGCAGGACAGAAGTGCTGTCTCTAACCAAGCATGACTGCCTGCATGTCAAAGCTCAGGCTCTGTTAACCTGCCAGATTCTCACTGTCCTGCCTGGAGCTGCAGCAACCTGGAACATCACACAATGCTGCAGATTCACACTCCAAACTGAGCACAGATCCTGCTAGAAGCTGTTGATTAATATCAAGGGAGTAGTTCTGGGAAAATACCTTGGGAAGAATTTCAAATGTACTTGTTTTGGCATGACATCGCTCAAGGTTATTTTTAAAAAGAACTGGTTTGGCAAATTCTTAAAATCGCAATATTGTTCGATTGTAAATCTCTTTAAGTCATTTATTATTCACCTGCAAGACTGCAAAGAACACCGTCCTTTCTGAGGTGCGCCATACACATGAAACCATGAAAGGATGATGCATATGGCTATTTAGGGGAATTATGAGGTGTTTTGTGCTAATCCAGCCTGTGAGCGTTGTTTGATTTTTCCATTCCAAACAACAAGAAACAATATATCACTGACAGTTACTTTTAAAAATTTATTATGACTGTTATTTATGATAATTACTTTTGTCCAACTCGCATTGACTAACAGATCTACATTTAGTACTTCCTGTTTATAACATGGCTGCCTATTGTCATAGAAAATGCTTGAGGAGTATCTGTAAAAAGCCCAAAGGGTATAACAGTATAGCCCACAAGCTATTGATAGCATTGGGTTCAGTATGAGGGAACCAGTCCAGATGTGTGTCTCTTTAAAGGGTCAGGGTGAAACGCAGCTGCTAGTCAACATGTTCCCAGGCCGAATGGCCCTGCAGCTGGCTAAGGAGTAGGAGAGCTGCTCTGCTTCAGCTGCCTTGTGGCAGGTCGACATCTGGTGGCGGCAAGCTGTTTTGCGAGAGAGGGCTTTCCGGTACACTGTTTGGCGTTAGCAAGCAGCATTGGGACCCATGTGCAGCAAGGTGCTGATGTGGGCTTTAGTTTATTCTTCCTCTCACACTCGTCTACAATGAGCAGTTGAGACTCTACTTATCAGCCATGATCCCCAACCACCCCAGCAGGGGTCACTGGTCAGAAGAATCAGAAGGACATGTTGTTTTGGGGCTTAACTGTATTTTGTGGGCTCTGGAGTTCAGTCTCACATATAACAGGAACTGCCAGTGGTCCAGCTCCCAGCCATCAGCACTGAAGTTTTAAAAGTGCACTGTGTTTTAAAAGCATCACGTCACGTGTAAGGGGTTCCAGTACTGGAGGAGAGACACCAGACAATGTGGGTCAGAGGTGCTGAGTGTGTGGTGGAAGGTGCCTGCCTTGCGATTTGGGCCTGAGGCTTGGAGATCGCTCGCTGTGGTGTCCCCAATCAGCCGTAGTTAATATGCTTGAGAACATACATGCAGATTTCCTCATCGCCTGTGTGCGTGGGCTGGTGGGAACTCTAAACCGACACTTGTAAATTAAGAGGGAGGGAACCATGACATCAGTTCCAGCAGCTGCTCTGAGCCTGTAGAGGGACACCCTTTCGAAAGGCCTCTTTCTGTGAGGACCACCCCATCGGCCTGATACTCTACCCCTTGGTACCCCTCCTAATCACCCTCGAACCTGATCATAGCCTGGGGGAAATGTAGGGTCTCAGCAGACATATTAATGGTTCAGATCTACTGCAGCAATTCCCACAAACTTTAGTCCCTATAATTCCCATAAAAATATATATTTTACTTACTTCACCTAATATAAATATATTTCAGTTCTATATCCCATTCAAAAAATAATTTCTTGAACTTCGATAAGATTATCCTTAAAGGTCCAGTTATGCTTTGGCCATTCGGTTGTTATTCAGATCAATGTATTTAGAGTTTAATTAATTTTGCTTGGTCACAGGCAGAACGGTCCTGAAAAATTAATGTTGCCAGTAACTTACGTTTTTCTATTTCCTTTTTAGACCACTTTTTCAGGGAAACTCTGATGTAGACCAGCTGGGCAAGATTTTTGAGTAAGTACTGGGTTCCCCATGATTCAGATTTTGAGTAAGTACTGGGTTCCCCATGATTCAGATTTTGAGCAAGTACTGGGTTCCCCATGATTCAGATTTTGAGTAAGTACTGGGTTCCCCATGATTCAGATTTTGAGTAAGTACTGGGTTCCCCATGATTCAGATTTTGAGTAAGTACTGGGTTCCCCATGATTCAGATTTTGAGCAAGTACTGGGTTCCCCATGATTCAGATTTTGAGTAAGTACTGGGTTCCCCATGATTCAGATTTTGAGTAAGTGCTGGGTTCCCCATGATTCAGACACCATATGCAAATAGTGTAAACAGCTTTTCACAGTGCAGTCATCTGATGGGTGCATCTGCTAGGCTGATAATGCAGGGCAGGGCAGCGCAGTCAGACATGTCACCGTACTGCGGCGAGGGCTCGCTTGACACCCCTGTAAGACTCCTGTAAGTCCTAGTGAACAAGACCCAGCCTCCATGGGAGGCCCGGTGGAAATTTAACACCCCAGCAGGCCATGGTCACGGCTCCAGTTACCGCGGCGGTCCTGAGCACATGGCTTTACGACAGATGCAGTCAGAAGGTAGCAGCCATCCATTCGGGTAGAATGCCCCCCTCATTTTCTGATGCCTAAGATATCTGGGGGGGAAGGGGGGGTGGGTTGGATTAGCATCAATGCTGACTAGAGTTTTCAATTAACCTAATCGAGAATGCATGACTGCGCCTGTAGTGAGTTTGTGTGTGTGTGTGTGTGTGTGTGGTCCAGGTACACATTACATTGTGGGGACCAAATGTCCCCAGAAGGTCATAAAAACCTGTTATTCTGGGGACATTTTTTTCAGTCCCCACAAAGGGAAACTCAGTTTCATAAAAATCTGTCACAAGTTTTGGCCTGAGTAGTGTGTGTGTGTGCGTGTGTGTGAATTAGGTTTCCCCCGCAATGTGATTAAAAATGCTATTTTGACCTTATGAGGACGTTGTGTGTGTGTGTGTGTGTCCGTCCAGCACCCTGACTGACATGCTGCTCCTGTTCGCAGTGTTGTAGGAGTGCCCAGCGTGGAGGACTGGCCCATGGACGTGGCCCTCCCTCAGAGTGCCTTCTCCCCTCGGCCCCCCAGGCCCATCGCTGAGCTCGTCCTGGAGATGGATGAGCAGGCACAGGCCCTGCTGCTGGTAATCCCCCTGCCCCCACTTCACTAACCTTGGACTCGCACCTTCTAGGGTGTGTTAACCGTCATGGCTCTGCCTAGAAAGTGCAGTTCTAAATTGCCGCTAACTATTCGCAAATGATTTCTCTCCAGCAATTTCTCACATTTAATCCCTCCAAGAGGATCTCGGCATTCGCTGCTCTCTCCCACCCGTACTTCCAGAATATGGAGACTAGCAACAAGAGTTCCCAACAAATCCCTAGCAACAAGTCATCGCTGGAGAAGCAGGCAGCCTAGGGGACAAGTCTGCCACCACGGACTCGACTCAAGGAGATTAGCTTTTAATTGGGTGGTTTGAAATATTTTTTGCTGAAAAAGAGAGGGAACAAAGTCTTCCACAACAACGTATGCTGCTCTTTTGATTTCTTGATAATGGAATCAAAAATAGTTTGCCCACGATATGGAATTGTTTTTTTTTTTTACTACAATGCAAAGACATCCTGTTCAGAATCGGACCACCTGGGAAAAATCTGGACTTCCAGAAGCTGCTTCTTCACATGCTGTCTTCCAGAGGACACCCTTTCGAAGAACCCCCCCCCACCCCCCCAGACAGGGGGTCCTGGGTCTCACCACTCCAGCTGTTCTCTTCAGTTCATGGCCGTACTTATGTTTGCTCATCTATTTAGCTGATCATCAGCACCCCCACCAGTTCCCTCCCTCCCCATCTGGCTTGTGCCCCCCCCCCACTTCCCGGAACATCAACGTTCTGCATATCACATCATGGAATGTGCTAAGTGACTGTGTCATCTCTGCCCCCTAGTGGCGGCGATATATACTGCTGAGTGCCTTTGGTTATGTTTTGTCATTCGTGAATTAAATTTTTATATGCTCTCAGTTTCTAAAGCAGCCTCAGCTGTTGAAGCTGATGGAGATGACTGTGTGTACAGTTATATATATACTTATGTTGAATTTTTTTTCTAGTTTGTGTCTGTGTGTGTGTTTTTAAGTTAAATGCTCTCCCATCTTTTACAAGTGTTAATCAGCGTTGCAGTTATTCCGATATACTGCTGCAAGGCTGCTGGAGACAAACTGATACAAAGCAGGATTAAATAATTGCGGTACATTACCTGACGCGTGCAAAAAGAAAAAGATGGGTCTGCTGAGTTATGAAAAACAAGTTCTAATATGTCTCTGTAATATATTTTTCTAGGTCTTTGATAAAGGATAATGGAGTTGATGTAAAAATCCAGGAGTTGTTTCCAGGCCATTGTGTTTACTGCCATGTAAATGTGTTCTGTGAAAACCATTAAGTTTGTACATAATGGCAGCCAGTCATTGTAGAAGACCAGTAAGTGTGGTGTGTAGTTTGTGAAAAAAGCTTCTTGAGGTGGGCCTTACGTGGTGACGAAAGGGTCAGTGTGGATGAGGTGGCTGCAGACACAGCGTAGGTGGCGTGACCCATGAATTTTTCGGAGATCGGAGGACGTAGTGTGGTAGCGGTAGGGTTAGGGTTAGGGTAGTGTAAGTGTTCATTGTTGGAGGTATGTCATGTCACAGAAAGTGTTTGCATGGATGAAGCGGTCATTTTTTCCCTTCTTTTAACTGGCCTTTTGTCCATATCCTGAATTTTTAGACCCAGGACTGCACTAGAAAGCTTGGTTTATCAGTCCCGAAGAACATTTTTTTTGGGGATGTAAGCATGCGCGGGTACGCTGTGTATCACAATAGAAAAAAGAAAGACAAATTATAGGATGCAACAGGTCATTACATATCAAACATAATTTTGTATACTAGACCTTACTGGTTTAAACTCCACAAATAAAAATATATGCAGGACACACTGTAAATGTGATACGATTACACATCATATGTATACTTTCACATCTATTTTTAGAACAGATCTCTTACTAATTCCATCACATTATATGCATGTTTATGTCATTGTGACACTAATGTCTTATTTGTTGCATTATTTCATCTTTGGCCAGTAAAAATAAGTCTGAAATGACTAGGGGAATAATTTAGACCTGCAGAGTAAGTTATAACTTTGTTACTGAAAAACTACAATGAACAAAATCCAAAGACTTTGAAGCTATCTGTACATGTTAAATGTAATTAAATGTTTAACTTCTGAAAGTGAGTTTGCTGGTCTTCAGCTGAGCAGTTAGGATTCAGACAACAGGGTTTCGTTGACTGGGGAGCCGGACCCGATGACATCTTCGTGTCCTTAAACTTAATTCTGTATGTTTATACTCAGGATTCATTTAGGTAAAAGAACACATTCTGACAGATTGTTTCTTCACTTTCATCACGTACACCCATCACAGGGATGTGTCCTCTTACCATTCACTCTAATGTCATATAAATGCTTACCAGCAATTTGCAGGTAATTTAAAGGTACAGTACGCACATATATCAGTTAATACCTTTATTTTTTTAATTAACTAGGACAGGTTTAATTTCCAACGTTTTTAATTTATATATAAGCTAAAAGTAATTTTTCCAACAGTATTCTATCTACTTAGACATGTAGTAACTACCCACTACACAGTCCTTCTGTCTTGGATAATGTAAAGATTTGTCATTATAGATGGAAAATCTCCGTATAAAGTGCAAGTGGTATTCCAAACAGTCCGCAGTAAGTAAAGTGACTAAAGTGATTAGCGTTCATGTGTGTCTTTATTTTTTAATTATGAGTTGAGGATATGTAAACCCTCTATCTTAAAAACTTGGGCCAATTTTCATCGTCTTTTTTTTTTTTTTTTACTGCAACTCACTCAAATGTCTGCCCCCATAGCGGGAAATTCAGGGAACCTATCTGAATGACTATGATTCAGCCTGTTGCTTGTTATGTGTAAATACAACTGTAAAAAAATCATTAGTTAAATGCCTTCAGAAAATGTGAATATGCTGTGGAAAATTCAGTATTGTGTTGAGTATTATGTCCCCATTGGCTGTTTGCTACCACTTCTATCTATTTTTGTCAAAGAAATTATTGAGCAAAATGAGTTCTTATGCTAAATGGGGTTCTCCATATCAGTTACAGAATACTGATGATGGTGTAAATAGTTATTTTCAGCAATGATAGCAGCCTGTCGAGTGCATTTCCAGTGCTACGGGGTTATTGTCATTGGTGCTATGTTGTTGTGAGTTGCACCAGATTTTGGGATATACAGATGCTCCCATCCAGAATCCTGTGCCTTAATACAGGCAAATTCGCCCTGCACACTTCAGCACCTTCCACTCGTAACATCTCAGTACCTCCCAGGGAAAACGAGTGTGTTCTTGTTTTTGAGACATTTTTGAAAATTAGATCAACCCATTCTATACAGGCCTACCTTTACAGGGGTAGTCTAGGTTAAATTAAGCTGGAGGGTTTCCATGTTGCTGAGTGTTGCTGCAGTGCATTGTGGGTGGTATGCTCCCCCAAGACAGTATCTCCTACTGTGCCATGCCAACCTCAGTGAAAATGTTGATTTTGCCTTGTCGTTGTATTAGTTATTTATTGACCCTATCGATTTTCGTATTTAAGTTTTGCTAACATTCATTGTCTGGCATCATGTGCAAATGACGATAAGCCATTGCACCTCCTTCGAACCTGAAGCGCCAGCATGCCAGAGCTCGCCATGGAAATTGTTGCATGGTGCATTTCGCCTGATTTCAAAAACAATGTTTTATGAGCTAAAATACATCTTTAGCACTCTGTTGCCCTACAAAATAAGAAATATTCCTGTTTTATTTATTTTAATATATATTTGTTAAATGTCCTTACCAAGCTAAAAAGCTCTGATACCTCTGGTGGACTATACTTGTAATGTTCCTCTCTTCTGATGGTTCTTAATGAGACTGTAATGAAACTGTTGAGGGGTCTTTTGTAAGGGGGACTACAGTAGATAGCGAATGTTTAGCGTTATTGTAACCCTCTCTGGACAGTTTCCACTCTAACTTAAACAAGCCCACAAGGTGGCGTTCAAATGTGGCTTTAATATTTCTATTTTTTGGTTTGGTACACTCACATGTTCCAGCTTACATTCCTGAATAACAGGCCTACCTGAGAAATGGGGTCAGTAAATGAGACTTTTTAGGAGTATTTCTGTGCAGCCATTTCGGCCCCCATGCTCAGCTCCTCTTCACCTTGTTATTCTCGTTGATGTCGTTCCTACAATCATCAAACCCACCTTCAATATTTCAGGTGTCTTTATCTGCATTAAGTGTGGTTACTGATAAAAAAAAAAGGAGACTATTACCAGAAGTATAACAAATGCATATAAACTATTATGCTGTTGTGCATGAAATATTCAGTTTGTTAGAGTGACATTTTTGTGAAATATGCGCATGCTCATAACGAATAAACAGTTCATGGTGGTGAAATCGGTGCGATGAGCATACATTTTCATTATATATTAAGTATAGCGATCCTGCTCATTTTCTGCGCTTCAAGTTCAGTCGGCAGTGCTGGAGAATACAAATATTGTTATTACTGTTATTTAAAAATGTAAGAACAATATTAATCTTTATATTGGTTGACATTGTATTGAATACATTTCTATGGATTAAGGATTCTAAAAGATGAACAGTTGAACAATTCAGAAAAGGTGTTTAACAAATTTGGGGCTATTGTTTTTGATCTTTTTTCATTTTTTTTTTTTTTTTTGCTAGTAAAATACCATTAAAATAGAAATGTTGGTGTAGGGTATTTAATGAACTTGAGAAATTTTTACTGTATTTAGCTAAAATGTTACGTTTGCAATGGGCTCACACGTGACAGACAATATAGTGGTTTGTGCCAAGTCAGAAACCATTCAGGACAGAGAAATGCTTTGATTTTATTGCATTACCTAGAGTAACTATGTACTGTATTCTCGTGTATGTGGATCTAGTTAGATCAGTAAATTTAAGAATCAGTATTGTAATGTAAACCAACCGGAGGCAAATTTAATGCAGTAGATTACATGCCAATTTTATGCCGAAACCTGTAATAAGCTTTTTATTTTTATTTACATGCAATTCAGCCTTATTTATAAAATTCACCCTGAAACGTTAGAGTTCAATTGCTTTTTGGTGGTGTATTATTTTCTGATTTGAACTGATTGCTAAGATCATTCTTAATTGGAAAGTATGTTAAATTGTACAGTATGATAACCAGTATTGGTAAAAAAAAAAAAAAAATATGAACATTTTCTTTAAGAGGTGGGGGCGTGTACTTTTATTTTTGTAGGATTTTATAAACAGGTTTTGCTGCTATTTGCTCTGGCCCAACCCATGTATAGATCCAGCCAATCTAAATAAAAGGTGGTAATTTTCTGCCAATGACTAAAGCTGCTTGAATGTAAGCTTGTTGTTTCAAACTGCTTTGACTGCTTGACAGTTTTATTTTTCTAAAATAAATATTTCTGTGTGTAAACTCAATGCCCTTTGTTTCTCATCTACATTAAACATTTCTGTCACAACAGAGAAAACAACAACCAAAACGACACTTACCCATGTGTCCACCTATACATTTCCTTATCACTTATTTTAGGCTGTGTTGCGGTGACCCTGTAGTTCGGTGTGCACTCTCTGGCAGGGAGCTGGGAGCGAGCAAAAACGTGGCCCTGTAGGTTGGGTTGGGAAGCACTGCTGTGGTCTATCCCAAAACATACAGGGTATTTATAAGGCGTATGTTGGCAAGAGGCAGCCCACCGGCCGCTTTTTAGCTTTCATCATCCTGCCCCACCTCCTAATCGATCCCTCTGCGTTAATTTTGCGGTAGTATGGCTTTACACTGTGAAACCTCCGGGAACATAGTTAGAATAGGGGGCGTGGCTCAGTGGGTTACGCGCAATGTCAGCGCGGGGCAGTGGGGGACAGTACAAGGCAAACGGGTCAAGTGCGAGCATGTTGCGATCGGAAGGTTTCCTGTTCAAATCCCGCACTCGGTAGAGTGATTTCCCAGACTGGGCCATTAAATCCCAACTGCCACAGGGAGTGGCTGACCCTGATTTCTCATTTGCATAAAAGCTAACTACTAAATACATAAATGTACATGTATTGCGTACTGTCTCCTTCTGACCCAAAGTATGGGGAAAATTTGCCTATGTGCATGTCTTCGTCAACCAGAGCACCCAAAGGTATCTTACGCTGCACGGGGAACACATGCGAACTCCACACAGACAGATTCCTAAACGGCAATGACCACCAGCCCACCCTGTGGACCTTTGAACACAGTGGCCGCTAGATGGCACCACTTCCGGTTCGGGCCCAGTCATAAGAATTACATCATCGGCGGAGGGATGTAAATAAAGCCTCAAAGTTAACCGTATGCATGCGCGGCTAAATCCGTAAAAATGGGGAAGAGAGACAACAGAGTGGTAAGTCCAAGCTAATCTGACCTCCCCGAGCGCGCCCTAAAAGTGCTTCAGCGGGGGCTGGTTAGCGAGATGGGCGTGGAAGGCTCCACCGCGTTTGGCATCGTTATCACGGTCTGCAAAACAAACGGACCCCGTGGCCGAAGGGCCTACTCTTGAAAGACTCGAGCTGCCTTTGGTGCAGAATATGATTTCTAAAAATGTTGGAAAAAAAACTTGTTTCATTTTTGTTTCTGCCTGCCGAATATACAAAACTAACGGGAACATTACATTACCAGCCGTTATCTTTACCAAATACAGACCTGGTAATGCTTTTATCAGCCGACTCGGCGGCTTCACTCCCGTGTGGCTACGTGTCCCGTTTAAGTCGCGGCTGACCATGCTACCGGCCTATTTATTTAACCAGTAATATTTAGAGAGCTGATGAAGTCACAAAATGTTGCCTTTTTCGGGAATTATGATAAAAGCACCGTGCGTCTGGATAACTGACTAGCAAGATAAACAAATAGTTTTCTCAGTCGCTGGCTAAACCTATTGCCTGGGCTGCCTAATTATCTATCTCGAAGTTGGATTTACTGTAATTTAACCATAATCGGATGGAAGGGACAACTATGCAGTACAATCCGGCCCTGGGTCCCAGCACTGGTTTGACTGTGGTGTGGTAAATTAGCGGCGTATGTTATTCCCCCCCCCCCCGTTAATTAATGTCTGCAGGCGTACATTAACCCCATAGCGGCGGCTCGGGCCCGGGGACCCCCGCCATCTGCCGGAACCACGATCCAGGACTACCTGAACAGACCGAGGCCGACGTGGTAAGGGCTGCAACCAATACACCTGTGTGCATGCAGTCCCGCAAATAACCCAAGGGAGGGTGTTGATCTCCTTTGTTTAATATTTGTAACATAATTTTGTATATTAACATTTGCATCTTTATATTTCGTAATGTGAAAGGCGACGTGAAAATGTATTGAGTAGCTCCTGACTCTGGGATTCAAACCCTACAGACCCTGAGATCACAATTTATAAGATGTTTCTTCATGCTTTGTGTACAAAACAACACATTGTGCCATCTTGACACTTAATGTTATAGCTGAAAGCTCCTTCTACAAGTGAAAGTACATAGTAAAGTCTATTGTAAGTTTATTGTAGTGTGACTGTTCCTGCTGAATCTTGTGGAGTCTGAAGGTTAAATCTTTTAGGGAGGAGGTGAAGGAGCAACTGGAGAAGAAAAAGAAGGGATCAAGAACGCTGGCAGAGTTTGAGGAGAAAATGAATGCGGTAATAACATCTGTCATTTGGGCTCTGTATCCATTCTGCTTTTAGGGTGCCTTTCATTTGGGATTCCAAAAGGCTGGGCTGTCTGTGGCTGTTTTATGACTTGAACAGTAGCGAGTCTTTGAGGCTATATCAGAGTCACACATGTATAAGGGTTGTGTGGCTCTGCAGGTTAGGACTGTGCCCCTGATTAAAAGGTCACCGGTTCAAATCCTGTGGCGGGAGTGATCCCGCTGTTGGGCTCCTGAGCATGGCCCTTAACCGCAACTGGTCCTGGGCACTGGACATTGGCTGACCCTGTGTTCTGACTGCAAAACTTCCCCACAGGGAGGAAGAAAGTATCTATTCTGATAATGTGATTCCTATGTGGCCCCTGATGTCCAAACTGCCTGCCTCTCTGCAGAAGTGGAAGAAGGAGCTAGAGAAGAACAGGGACAAGCTTCTCGGGGGGAGCGACGGCAGGAAGGACAAAGAAAAAAAAGAGGTGCGTCCTGTCGCTTCGGTCACATCTCCCTTAGTGCTCTTCCGCTGACCGCTCACTGCTCTTCCGCTGACCGCTCACTGCTCTTCCGCTGACCGCTCACTGCTCTTCCGCTGACCGCTCACTGCTCTCCCGTTGTCTTTGTGTCCAGAAAAAGCGACGAGAGAAGAAGAGAGCCAGCAGGGTGAGAGAACTTTTCCTCTGTCCTAATGAACGGCAAAAGCGTTCGGCGTCCTTTAGAACATTATCCGTTTAACCCTTTGTGGTTTTATCTGATGTGCCATACACTGCTTTAGACAACTTTAAAATCTAATAAAGTCTTTCCATTGTGTTTGGTCAAGCATTCTTCGTCTTCCTCCTCTTCATCAAGTTCTGATTCCTCTAGCAGCTCGTCCGAATCTGATGAGGCAAGAATATTTTATTTGTTTACGTAACAATCTAGTTTGCATATCTAAAATGTCATATATTTCATTAAAATTAGACTTAAAACTATAAGTTAATGAAAACATTTTGAGATCCTCTGGGTAATATTTTTCTGTGCAGTCCTTAAATATTTCACTATTATTTGATGGCTGGGTTCTTTTTTTTTTCTTTCTTTCTATGATTGTAATCTTTTTTTTTGTGTAATCAGGAGGAAAAGAAGATTAAGAAGAAGAAAAAGCAGAAGCGTGTCAGAAAGGCGTCAGATGACGACTCATCAGAATCAGAATCTGACAGCAAGGTACCTTGTTGGTCTCACTGGGCACCGGCTGACATCTCAGGTTCTTTTTATTCAAACCCAGAGGCGTTGTTAGGTCTGACCACTCGGGATTATAGCCCTGAGTATTTTGAGCCTAGTGCCGAATACTTTAGCCCCAATGTCGTTCCTTCTTTAAAAAGTCCCCGGGTAAGCTTGACTTAGTCCCTGATCCTTTCAATATCTTGTAACGCTCCTGTTCCAAACCAAATCTTAATCAGGCTCAGATGGTCCATAGTACGCTAATAATGAATGTGGCAGGTTGAAAGCAGCATGGGTTGGAATCAAAACATTCTGGAAGGGGGTCCTCCAGGAACAGGATTGCGAACTATTGCATGAATGGAAGCGCTGCCTGATTGGTGGTTGCTGGAGGTGTAGCTTGTTGGTGCAGATTAGCGGAATAACGTTGCGTTGTGTTTTTTTTTTTTTATTCTGTGGAAAACAAAAGACCTACCTGCAAGATAGATTTAATATTAAAAAAAAAAATCTATTATAAAAGTGGTACTTTGAAACCTAAGTGGTGAATGATCCAACAAAATCTCTTATTCTGAACTCTGGAAAATGGCAGGTTGTCTAATGCGATCATCTCCGTTATTTTAGTAGTTGTGTCTTTAGTTCTTTTGCTGCTAGCTTTCAGTATTCATTATGTTTAAATATTGGCCAAGATAGACACATTAGACTGATGGCGATATCTGTCTTGACTTTTAACACATATTGGTCAATACTGATATGTTAGCCAGTATATCATGCATTTCTAAGGCTGTTACATTTAACTTAGTCTTGACCATTGCTACCATGTATAGCAAAAACAATGAATTCTTTTGCTCTACAAAAAAAAAAGCATTGTGGCAAAAAGAATCTTAACTATTATATAGAGCGTTCTGCGCTGCAAAACTGGGTGAGATTTACAAAAACGTTGTACAGCAAAGATAATCAGTGTAGCGCGTTCTTTGTGAATTTTTAATGAATCTGCCCGTCATCCTGCATTTTGGAAACCCAGTGCTACTTTACGCATTTACCTGCAGCACATGAACGCGAGTGTGCCTCACCTGGAAGTAGGAGTAGCTTTGTCTTTAAGGAAGATTTCGGCACCTTGGTAATCAACTCTTCACCATGCATCAATGCATCGTTACAGCCCTACTATTCAGCCCGTGTTTGTGTTGGTATTTGGGGAAACACTAAAGAGCCACAGCTAGTCAGCTGGTTCTCAAGCTTGAAATGTGCTGAGGGAACAGGTCATTCCATAAGCTTTTAAGCAGGTTTCCATCACAAGCTTTTGCCCATCAACATCTGTCTCAAAAACGTCATGATTATAAAATCCGATATACCAATGGCATGGAAAAAAAAACACAGGCTTTGTTTAAAAACATGAATGCAAGTGTGAATTTTAGTGTTTACATGCATGTTCGCAGCATGCAGCCATTAGGGTGCCGTTATGTGGTCACTGCGAGTGGTTTCTCTACTTCTCTTTAGGAACCTTCCAGAAAGAAAAAGAAGCAGCCAAGGGGGGACAACGCCGAAAGGGAAAAGGTCATTTCAGTTCATAGTAAAAGCCACTGGCCATTCAGCACGGTCACCCTTTACCTGCCCTGTGTTCAGGTGTGACAATGACTCTGCCTGACAGGATGACAAGGGGAGCCGTCGCCGGATGAAGCTGGAGCATCCCGACAAGGCCTCGTCCCCTGAGTCGCATGCGGACTCCGAAATCGGGGAGGTGAGCCCCCCCCCCCCGAGCCCTATGCTTTTTCCTCTCTTTGTGCTCTTAAAATATAAAATAAAAAAATTTTATTATAAAGTGATCTTGTGCTGCCATCCTAGGGTGACTCGAAGAAACAGAAAAGAAGTAGTGAAGAGAAGGAAAGAAGTACGGTCAGTAACCGTGTGCAGGCACCAGTAATATATGGAGAGAAGTACGGTTAGTAACCGTGTGCAGGCACCAGTAATATATGGAGAGAAGTACGGTCAGTAACTCTGTGCATGTCGTGGAATATAATGGTGCACAAGAATCATGGTTTTGTACAAACCCTGGTTTTGGATTCACAGTTCAGTGCAATTTCGGTACAGCAGGGAAGACAAAATTTGTTTTGAAATTTATTTTTAAAACTGCAAGCACAATTAGGAAGAACTGTATACCAAAGGCAATGTCTGTCAAAATGTCTGAATTACAAGATCTAAGGGAAGCTTATTTTGCATATTGTAAAAATAAAAATGTAAAATTAAAAAAATCAATAATATAACAATCATAATGAACTAAATGCCATGTTCTTTACTACAGAGTATGGTCACATTTCTGTAGCAATAAACAACCCTGTAGCTGAGGAGAAAAACTTGCAGAGGATGTTTCTCGTGCTCTGGTCGTACACATACTCGGATGATGTCTCAAGTGAGTTAGCATGTTGGGTGTGTTTCCAGCAACATATCTGATATTGCTATAACAGCCAACAGTCTTGGCATTACCAAATACTCTCTCTAGTGATGGTGTAGTTTATTAGTGAACAGAAATGTTCCCAAAATGCCTGTTATCAGCATTAGCCATAATCAACTCAGTCAGAATTTTGATAATATTTTTCGTGTTGTAAAAGTATAGATTCCACATCAAAGTATTACTTAAGAAAAAGTCTAGTAAAACAAATCTGGTTTTAATAGTACTTAAGTTTCAAAAGTAGTACTACTTATTAAAATCTCTAGATCTTGAGAAAAGCAAAATACCCTTTAAAATCCACTCAATACAGGTTTAATACAGCATTGTAAGTTACGGTGCATCACAATAAGGAAAACTGAATTGCGAGGATAAGAAGATGATATAAAGAAAATATTTTGGGGAAAAAGCTGTGAAATTTGCCGAGCTTGGCAGTGCAGATTGGCAGAATGACATTACATCATTTTTCATTCTATGGGAAAAAAGCTTGATCTGGCCCTAAGGGCCAGGTTTAATAATGAACATGTCGTAGGCGAGACTTCGCACAAGTGGCAAATGAGCCGACATGTAATGTAACGGTGGTCTCGTGCAGAGGTGTCGTGGGTCGTAGTCATTTTGCTCAGCATTGTAGTGAAGTGAAAGTAAAAGTTGCAAAGGTAAAAAATACAAATCCAGAAAAAACTTAAGTACAGTGATACTTCAGTATTACGTGCACTAGTGTCTGCATAAATGTATTAGTTTGTTTCATTGTGCATATTGAACCGGTAACGTACAAAAGCGTACACAACAAAGACGCATACCGTTACGACCCAAGTGTGCATATGAGGAATTGGAGAAACCCAAACCAAAAGGATTATCTTGTATTCTTCCAGGACAAATCAAAGAAAAAGAGGAAAAAGAAGCAAAAGAAGCACAGAAAGAAGAAGAAGGCCTCCAGCTCGGATCACGAGTCGGATTAAGGCGTCGTTGTGTGACGCCCCCTAGTGGTACAGGCAGGGGTGTGAGTGCATGCCTAGAAAGGCGGGTGTCGGGCTGCCAAGGCAAAAGAACGCCTGCATGAGCCAGGACTCTGGAGAAAAGCAAACTCTTCACTCACAAAACTTTTAATATGGGGAAACTGTCTTGCTGTTTCGGAATTTTTTTTTTTTTTTTTTTTTTTTTTTTTAAGAATTTTCAATCAAAATAAAAGTGTTACCATTTGACTGTCGCGTGGATTATCTGCAATAAAATTTTAATTTCCTGCACATATTTGTATATGATGTACATTATGACTAGGTCTTGTGTGACCTTAGTTTTTCTCCCTAATATTCTTATGGGATTTACAGTCTGCTTAGCAAAATGTGGCTGGAAACTAGCTGGCATGTGATAGATGGTTCTCGTGTGACGTTCACTTTACGCAGCGGTCAGTGAGGTGTTTCTCATGGCAATATCACAGCTGAGTTGCTGAGAGGTTTGTTTTGTGACCTCCAGCCCCCTCTATGAGATGTCTGTATAGGACCTTCACTGCACGTATCAGTGCTGTGCTCATACCAACCTCATATTGAAGTTGTCATTAAAAATGCACTGATTTTTGTAGCAAAGAAATTTGAATTAAAAAATTCACATGCATGTACTGTTCATGCTATATGACTTTTTCTTGTATAAATGGTAGTCTTGTTGATAACCACTTGTTTTGTTTACCAAAATATTTGATGTAAATTTTATATATACAACTATAAATTATATGTAAAAATATCTGGGGTGGACAAAACAATGAGAACATTACATGAAAAAGGATTGAATACCTATATTACAAGCGCAGCTACATAGGTTAGGCTGAATGTGAAGTGGCAGTGAGATAAGAGACGTCACCATGAGTTAAATATGACATTTGGAAGTTTGTGAACAAGTGAAATTGTACATAAGTGATTTAGATAATCTAAGTCATAAAACAAGGATATTTTGATAAAACTGGTATATTTTTAGGAAATGTGTGAACCCGTTATAATGTTTGCCTGAATTTTACAGAATTTAGTAATTCCGGTAAGCTAAGTCATGAAAACGAGAACTTCATACAACACAATATGTTGTTTTTGTTCATTTATTTATTGATGATGCAGTATTGCATATATTTGTTGGAAACGTATGTGAACTGATAGGATTATATAGTCAGTTAAGTAGCATTATGGTCAGGAGTGTGAATTAATGCCATGATGGTCAGGTTGGAGTTTTGATGGCCCTGCCCATTTATAAAAGAACATTATCAAATGGGCAATATTCAGTCTCACTCGGAGGCGCCCAATCAAAATCACTGTTGCATTGGCTAATGTCCTATTATATTTCGAATCAAGCAACCACATTCAAGAACGTGTACAAGGGGACCGGAGAATCAATGTCACATATCCACCAGAAATCCCACCAGACCTCTTTCAGTTTTCCTGTGTTCATGTGGACGTCCTCCAGGTACCTCAGTTTCCTTCCACAGATCAAAAATTCTTGGGTTGGGTGAACTAGCATTTCTAAATTGCCCGTAGTTGCCCCATAAAGAGCCTTGTGATCTGCATCCTGTCCAAGGTGGTGCCCTGTCATGTGTTCAGTCTAATACATGCTTCTCGTTTGTACCTTGAATCAAACTGGAAAACAAACTGATTTTCATAAAATCTATTTGCAACGCAGCATACAAAATGGTGTTTTCTGAAGTTCTAACATAAATGATAATGAATGGGCTGCATACCAAACATATATTTATGACCTATTGCTTACCATAAAGGGTTAATTAAGCAAGTGTTTCTTTCAGTTTCCATTTATTTAAAAAGGAAGTTAAACCTTAAGATCTTCAGCAAACTCATAGCACTGCTGCTAGAAGACAAAGGTGACGACGACAAAATAAGGTGACTCGTTATCTTATTATACAAAAGATAAATATGCTGCAAAACCTGACGTTTGTAGAAATGTTTTTTTAATGATGTAAAAATCTGAGTTTTCGAGGGATTTCTGAGAAACTTCATCACTGTACCTCGATAATACGGCCATAACGGTACAAGTTTTTCCTTTTTTTTCCTTAGATGTTAGGTGCTGCTGCATTAGTATTGCTGATGGCAGGACTTTCTGTCTCTCTGAATTGTCCTGATGGAAAATACTGTCCTGATACCTCCACCTGCTGCAAGAGTGAACGTGGGTATGGGTGCTGCCCTTATCCACATGTGAGTTTTATCCGTCTGCTTTTTTAGGAAGTGTGTCAAAATCTTAGGCAGTCAAAGCAACGTTTAAAGTTATTTATCTGGGTAATAAGAGTGTATTTGCTTAGCAAGAAACATAATTTAACATTAGAACACATGCACATAAAAAGTAATATAATAAGAGTAACAAGAATTTCTTTTGTTCTCCAAAAAAATGACTGATATCTTGCTGAATGGCTAGAAGATCATTGCTTCAGTTCCCAAACCTCAGAGGCACAACCAGCCATTCCAAATCATCACCATTTCCACTTAATCAATTAATTTAATTGGTTAAAGAAGTCAATAAGGTATTGGTTAGCCATGCACGGTGCGCTAGTGGCTGATTTGAAAAATACATGGGTGTATTGGATGTTTGCTGCAAATACTGGGGTGACTTTAAGAGAGGTTTTGAAATGGCTAAGCCGACGCATTTTTACAGACGTAATGACATTTTTATATCAATTTCATTTAAACATAATTTTCTTTGACTGCCTAAGACAACTGCACAGTACTTTATCATAGCGTGCTATCTTTATAAATCTGACTTAATGTACATTACAATGCACGTCTTCAACGAGTGCAGTACTGCAGATAAATCATTTCATGTGACTTGTGGTAATCATGACAAAATGAGGAAATGGTAAAATCCTGACACAGACATCAGCACTTTGATGTTGAAATCAAAGTGAAATAAAGTCATATGATATATTTTCAGTATCCAGTATATATCAGTATGATCTTTTTGTTTTTTCCTTCTTTGAGTATGACTAGCTGGAACGCTGTATTACTAAATCCTGTAACCAAGTAGCATCTCTAACCATTGAATGCCGGTTAGATATAGATTCCACATGACAATTTACTGTTTTGTGGATGGATGGATGGATGGATGGATGGATGGATGGATGGATGGATGGAGAGTTGACAATACATTCAGTGCAATGGGGTTAGTACAGTATTACGTTTCATGTACTTGTGGCTGCAGGCAGTTTGCTGCCCGGACCTGTCTCACTGCTGCCCCGAGGGCTTCCAGTGCAACATGCAGACTCAGATGTGTGAGAAGTCGGGGCTGCAGGCCACGGCTCCAATGCTGATGAAGGTGCAGGCAGAAGAGCCCAGCATCCCCCTTGTTCCCCTGGGCTGTGCCTCTGCTGGAGGAGAAGCAGTGATCCAATGTACGGAGCAAGGGCTGAGTTCAGGAGACGAGGAACTGCAGGCGCAGATGGCCCTGAGTCCGGCCCTCTCTGGCCTGCCGCAGTCCTCCATCATTATCTGCGACATGCATTTCTTCTGCCCCACTGGTAACACGTGCTGCCAGGGCCCAACTGGACAGTGGGGCTGCTGTCCATATTCACTGGTAAAGATCAAATGCTTCATATGCAAAGTGAAAATTGCGACAGTGATGTGCTTTGTATGCTGTGAAGTGTTAAAATGATTTGAAATATGCCGTGACAAACAGACATTTCTGGATTTCACAGGGCCAGTGTTGTAAGGACGGCAGACACTGCTGTGAATATGGCTTCAGGTGTGACTGGACATCTTTGAAATGCACCAAAGGATACCTCCAGTTCCCTTCAGCTCACAGGGAGGCCCAGCCAGTTTGACTACTCCTGTTGGAAATAGACACACCAGTTACAAATATCTGCTTTTACATTGTTATATCCCTAAAATACGCATAAAAAATTACGGCTTGCAGAATAGAGCTCACAAAACTGGACATCAGGAAATATGCATTTTACAAGTAGCTTAGACAGATTGCCCTTGAAGACACAGAGAAGAAAGATTGCAGGGGGAACCAGTGAAACTATGAATGTGATGTTTGCCAATGCAAATTGGTCTAGATAATTAATACCTATGTGTAGAAATATCAGAACTGTACTGTTTTTGCAGCTGAATGAATGAATGAATAAATAAATAAATAAGCAGAAATTTCACACCAATATAATTATTTTAACTGAAAAGCAAAAATACCTACAATCAGAACGCATTCAGTGTAATTGTAAAATGATCAGACACCACACATTTCCTGAATAGATTTCTTGAAAAGAGGTTTGATCACAGTTGCCTTAGAAGACTTGAGAAGGAACGTATCAAGAAAATAACCAGAAAGGAGGTGCTTTTGGAACAATAGCATTGTATTCCCTGGACAACTTTTTCACGCCCATCTAATTGGGGGCCCAAAAATTGGGGTCTGTCATGGGAAAGATTATCAGGTGTAGATTTTCATTCATATCATGTATTTGTGAAGTGGTAATAAGATCCATCAAAGATCAAATAAAGTAAATTGAATTCTTACAACAAAAACAGTTATCCGGTACACAAAGTTAACCCTCACATCTCATTGATCCTTCTCTTCACTGTTATGTCATTGCTTCAGTTTTGGAGCAATTTGTCTCAAAATCCAATCCAATATCCATCCATGTGCCTGCAAAGATTGGAAAAGGGTTATCATGCTGACAATATCAATGTGTAAACTGCCTGCCTCTTTGCTGTCATTATGCAATGCTCTTTCGATTTTGGTGCTATTTGTTTAAAAATTGGTCAGTTCCAGATATTCGCCTTTAAAACATGTTTGCAACGGTTGAAAAGATCTGTCAAATACTTTTTGAGTTACAGCCCTAATGGGATCAAATGTCTTAAACTACTTTGTTTATTTCATTATGTGGTGCTGCTTCAGCAGGAGATCGACAGGCGGATTGATGTGTCAGCAGTGAATGCCTGGAGCCAAGTATGGATGCATAGTAGATGGGGTAGCATACCTCTACATCCACCCACATACCCATCCACCTCTCCAAGGATGCAGAAAGCACATGGCTGTGGTACACCCCAGACAAGATGCCAGCCCTTTACAGTGAACATCAGTGTTGGGAAGATTATACATTCAGCATTAATTCACTTTCCCCTTTTATTCATGACATGGCAAAAACAGCAGGACTGTTGATCATGCATAAGTTGAGACTGACTCAAACAGCAACTGAGGAGCCTCTGTATCTGTGTGTGTGTGTGTGTGTGTGTGTGCGTGCGTGTGTGTGTGCGTGCGTGCATTGAAATGAATGAGCGGTCCCCATAAGTATATGTTTACCCTACATGTGCGTGCGTGCGTGTGTGTGTGTGCGTGCGTGCTTGCGTGCATGTGCCTTATTATAGACATGCCAACAGCTGTCCTGGGGGGTGGGGGGGTAGGGATTTTGCTGTTTTAATGTAATAGTTTAGACCTAAAATAGCACTGACAGTATTTCCCCCATAGTACAGGAGTAGTGCAGGAGTTTGTTACCCCCATGCATTGAAGCGAAGGGTTTAATCGAGCGTGTCAGTTTCCTTAAGTTCTTCCGGAATGGGCCCTCCCCTGTTTTGGGTTTCTTTCTCATCCTGCCAGGCCTTGCATAGTATTCCCATGGCATCCCACACCCTGCCAACCCAGGCTGGTTACATCCAGGGCAGGAGCAGATCCTGCGGAGGCAGACCTGGTCCAGGGATCAGAAATCGGCCTGGTGCAACATTTCATCCAATAGCCTCTTTCTGGAAGTGGTTGGTCCTAAATAATGAAACTCTCCAATCAGCAAAATCAGCGCTACATTGCGTATAGAATTACAGCAAATAATACTCAAATAAGGAATAATAATAAAAGAACAAGTGTAAAACTATACCAATGAAAATATAAATATACAAGACGAAAATACAAATACAAAATATAAATGAAACAAACTGTGTTCAATTGATGGCTGTTAGTGACAGATATCATACTTGGACATGTGCAGCAGTCAGTATTGCATGCTGTAAAACACGCCAGTTAATGCATGGACTCCAAGATCCACAGATTAGCATATGCTGCAGCAAAAAACAACACTGGGGAGGAATCGGAATTGCATATGTATTGTTCATATCCATTAAATATAAAAATCCTATCAGTCCATACTTGCTTTATTTCTTCACAGTCAAGGCGCCTAAACTAATATTTATGATTTTTCTGATTTATAATAAGGGGACATATTATCCTGTTATCTTTCCAGCTGATGTTTTTGTTTTTGTGATGTTTAAAGCAACAACCTTGTCACGTTCTGCCCACGTCCTACCCCAGAGTGGCCCTAATGAGCTACACCTGTTTTGTATTAGTCTTACCACTCATTCCTGCCCTACTGTGATTCACTCCAGCTGCCTCTCATTGTGCTCCCTCATTAGCCTTTGTTACAAGTGCTTCCCAGTCCTGCACTATCCAGTCCTGACATTGTTACTCTAGTTGTTAGTTCCTGTTTTCCCTGTGATCCTGTAGTTTTCCTTCCAAGTGAATTACAATAAACCCCCTTCAGTAACGTGGTTTATGAGAGAACTTGTTAATAAGGACCCTCTATAGCAAGAGACTTTTTAGCAGTGTGACTGGGCAAGTAGGAAATCTGGTAAACGAAGGATTTAATAAGGAAACTCACAATATAAGCACAGCGACGTCAATGACAGGACTAGGGAAAGACTAACAGGGAAGTACTTAAATACATGGACTTATTTAAGACTAGACACAGCTGGTAACACAGGAATTCCACACGTGATTAATGAGGGGGCATGGCAGACAGGAGGAGCGGACGATCGGGGCAGGACAGGACCCCGTCCCAAAGGGACGAGAACGGGGACATGACGGCACCTGCGGGAACAAATGCAACAACATGAACAAGGCACGGGGAACAGCACGGACATAGAGAACAGGCACAAGGACAGCAATCAGAACACCAACTGACACACCTCGGGGAGCGCAGACAGACACTGGGGAACCAAGGGTGAAAACACAGGACCTGGGGACACCAAAGGAAACACCAACAGGAGGAGTGAAGGGACAGGGAGGGAAAAAAGGCGGAACAAATGGACAAGGGGGGAACACAGGGAAACCACCCACAGGGGGAACCACACTAGGGGGCAAAGAGGCAAAGGGAGGGGGGAACCAGGGAGCCGAAGGGAACCCCGGTGGATGGGAGCTGCAGGGGACACTGGAGGAGGGAGCAGAAGCTGCGGCAGGTGACGGCACAGCCGGCAAAGGCGCAGGCGACCGACGAGTCGTAGCTGGGGGAACTGCAGCAGCAGGGGACAGTCCGGGCAGCACTGTGGGCGAGGCATGAGGCAGCCCACAGTCCAAACGCACCTGCCCTATCATGGCTTCTGCCACTCCACCCCTTAAGTGCCGCAAGTTGGCTCACACCTCCTCTGCCATCAGAAGTGTGAGAATGGCAGCAGTTTAAATTTTCCCATTGAAGTCAAAGAGTGAATTCTGATTGGCTGTCAGTGACTTTGCCCACCATAATTGCTGTCTTGGGGTGTTTTCATACCTATAGTTTGGTTTCTCTGGTCCAAATCAGTTAAGTTTGTAAACTTGGAGCACTTTCCCCCACGGTCTGGTTTGCTTTCACACAGAGAAAAATCCAAGCAAAGCAACAATGCACCACTACAAACCAAGTGAGAATGTTCATTCTGCTTATTGGTCAGATGTGTCTGTAAATACAGGAAGAAGTTTCTGTGTCATGGGTTATGCAATTGAACGTCTCCCGTGTTATGTATTGTTGCCTCAGTTTGTTACTTTCATACAGTACTGTTCAGTCGACCAGTCAAATCCTCTCTCCTTCAGCCATTGACTGAACATTTTGAAAACTTCAGAGTTTTTATGACTTGTTTTTGGGAGCTGACAGATGTAGTCATCTGCCTAGATTTCAAGACGCCAGCATGCCACGCTGCTAGACCAAGTAAGACCTCGGTTCATTTCTCTTTCTCTACCTAGCTTCTGCTACTGGTTTGCATGCTCTACCTCATCCAAGAATGCAAAGCACACCTGGCTACAGGAGACAATTAGCTCAAACCTGCACAAGGAAGTTGGGTCGGATTGAAGTTAGATCATGTTCACACCACAAACGAACGGCTCCAGAGTTCGTGGGGACCGGACTGAGACCACTTCCTCTCAAGGGTCTCAGAATGGTTGTTTGGGTCCGCACCTGAGTGCGATTACTCTGTTCACACCTGCCCAAACAGATTGCACCAAGGGGGAAATCGATCCAGAGTCCATTGTGACCAGACAAAAAAGGTATGAAAATATCCTAAATCAGACATGTTAATGCAGGTAAGTTAAACAGTAGCTGTGGTATCATAATACTTTGTTTCCTGGTGTGGGCATGCGTGGTAAATGTAATGGCGTAAGAACCCATGAAAACGATGAGGGGTGTTCCTGTTGAGGGAGTTCCTGTTGTTTAACACGTAATGG